GCCCTATCCCTCCAAGCCCAGGGTGCAGCAACAGCAACCAGAGGGACAGAGAGCGTCTGGTTGCTCACTCATTCCACATGCAGGCAGGCACCAACCCCACCTCCTTGACCAGCCTCCCTCCTCCCCTCCAGGGTGATCTGCGCTCTGCTGCTGGCTGCTCCCAGCAAACGTGCCCGGGCATTAAAATGAGGGGAGCAAAGAAATCTGCGCACGGTATGCATTCTGTGCCCCCCGCAGGGCACAGAATTCCCCTGGGAGTACCGTGCGGAGCACCCAGCAATCTGACGTGATCCAGGCCCACACATGGTAGAAGTGAGACAGCTGACACGAAAAGGATGGGAAGTTGGATCCGGTGTCTGAACTGGTACATCGCCCTTGGGCGCACCTTCAAAAGGCTTATTTTGAACCAGAGGACTTGCGGCTTCATAGCCTTAAGGACTCAAGAGCCACTCTCAAGTCCCTGGGCCACCATATTCCATCTGTGCAGTGGAGGCATTTTAAGCCCCAGCCCCTGCCTTGATTCTACCAAAGTCTGTTAGTAGAATCAAGGCAGGGGCTGGGGCTTAATATGCCTCCGCTGCATAGATGGAATATGGAGGCCCAGGGACTTGAGAGTGGCTCGAGTCCTTAAGGCTATGAAGCCGCAAGTCTCTCAGAGAAGAGGGTCGAGCCCTCAAATGGGAGGTTCTGGATGTCTGTTGGACCTCATACGGGAGCCCTGATGCCTGCAGCCAGGAGCTCCTCCAGATGGCCACCACTGAAGACATGGTCCAAGCGGCTGAATGGGCAACATCTAGGGCTGCCTGTAGCGGAGCCCGTGCCACAAGTTTGCCCTCCTCCACCAAGGTGGAAAACTCTGCCTCTGATTCTTCTGGCAGAAGCTCAGTGAATTCTGACACAGCCCCGCAGGAACTGAAGCTATATCTGCTAAGGATCACCTGGTGGTTTGAAATCCAAAGCTGGGGCCCCCTGGTAGAATAGACTTTCCTCCCGAAGTGGTCCAGATTCTTTGCATCTCGGGCTTTAGGTGATGGACCTTGGTGCCCTTGCCGTTCTCATTCGTTTGCCACGAGTCTGGTGGTGGGTGTGAATAAAAGTGTTCAAACCCTTAAGAGGGAACAAAATATTTCCTCTCTGTCCTTTTCACCACCAGGGGCAGGGAGACGGGGGTTTGCAGCAGCATTCTTGTGGTATCTTGTATGGTTTTAATGAGCGGCAGGGTAACTTGGGAGGGTCCTCAGGGGTCCAGGATGTCCACCATGGGGTCTGATGACTCAGAGACCTCCTCGACCTGGAGCCCCAGCTTCTGGGTCACTCTCTTCAGGAGCTGCTGGTGGACCCTACTGTCCTCGAGTCCAGGAGCTGTGGAGGTACCAGCCACTGTCTCATCTGATGATGAAGATGACGAGGTTCTACCTGGAACCAGCTCTTGCTCCTGGCCTGTGTGGTGACCAGTAGCGTGTGGGATGGCTGGTCCTGCACCAAGGGAGATGGGGGAGGTGCATGGTTTTCTGAAGCTACCAACACTGACCTCCTGGAATAGGATCCCTGGCTTTGATGAAACGCTCAGGGGGTCCAAAACAGCCATTGGGCTGGAGCTCACCATTGCACGGGCCATGGCATCGGGCGAAATTGCTGTCTCTCCCTGTCCAACCTTGAGTGTCTGCGCTCCGATCTGTGCTGGGTCCAACTGGACACAAAGGATTCCACCTCTGAATCCAATTGGGAGGTCTCACTCTGGGAGGACCATGGGAGAGCAGTGCCCACCGGTGCTGTGGAGCCATGCTGGGAGATTGGTGACCATTGCGGCTTCCCTGCTGGTCTGTTGCCAGAAGGTACCTGGGACTGGTGGACCAGATGATGGTGATGGATGTGGTACCATCACTGGCTTGCCTCGGGACGACACCAAGAGTCTTGGGGGTGCCATTTCCCTTGAGCTTGGTGCCCTGTCTTGCCTGGGCGGGGAAGGCAGTGCTGTGAAGGCGATGAGCTCTCTCTCTGCCTTAAAGATCTCTGGCGTGGTGGGCAGCTGCAAAGCCTCTCCGTGACTCTCCCGGGGAGGGGAGTCACGAGGAGTTGGACTCCACTGACCCCTTGTTGGGGCAGGAGTCAACGGCGCCGGGCTAGGTGGTGCTGCACTTACGTGGCCCAATGCGGGTCCCACTGTGCCAGAGTCCTTCTGTCCCGGCCTCAGCGTAGGTGAGCACCCCCGATACAGCTTTTTTTTCTTGAGGGGCACCGGGGATTGGGAACGGTGCTGCACTCTGCCATGCATGGAGCCCCTGTGCAGCGAGCTCTGTTGGTGCTGAGCGTCTCTATCCCAGTCCTTTCTCGGTACCAAAGTTTCCCGTGTCGACGTCGGAGCACTGCGCACCAATGCTGAGGTGCTAGGCATCAGTTCGGCCGAAGTCGGTTCCACGTAGGGATGGAGGACGGCCTCCATCAGAAGGATCTTCAACCGTTGGTGGCTTTCTTTTTGAGTCCTGGGGCAAAATCCCCTAGAGACCTTGCAATGGTCCTTCTGATGCGATTCCCCCAGGTACTTCAAGCAGGAAGTGTGGGGGCCGCTCCTAGGCATAGGCTTGTTGTAAGCTCTGCAGCGTTTAAACCACGGGGACCGGGGCATGCCCCAGTACCGGGGGGTGGGGTAGGGAAGTGGGGGGGAGGTCCCCCAGAATAATTCCCCACTGGAATCTAGCTATATAATGACTGACTAACTACAGCTACTAGCTAACTGGTTTAACTATTTACAGAAAGACATTCTGAGGACTACTCGGGAGAAGGCTTGCCGAAGCAAGAGCAAATGAGCTTTCCAGCTAACCGTCGCAGGCAGTAAGTAGGAATTGAAATGGCGGCAGGTCGGCAGGGCCCAAAGTACGGCACCATGGAGGCGCAACTCCAGGTGCCTGAGCCGACCCAACGGGTACTGCTAGGGGGAAAACCTTCCGCACACACCTAAAAAACGCGCACACACCTAATTGGAATCAACATGAGCAAGTACTCGAAGAAGAACCAATCTTGCCAAACAAACCTAATTTCCTTCATTGATATGGTTACTGGCCTAACGGATACAGGGAAGCAGAAAACATGGTATAATCTTGATTTTAGAAAGGCTTTTGTCCCACAGTTCCACATGACATTCTCATAACCAAACGACGGAAATGTGTTCTAGATGAAATCACTGTAAAAGTGGGTGTACCACAGCGTGAAAGCCTGTACTCTATGTGTAGTTATCAATGGTTTACTGTCAGACTGGGAGGATGTATCTAATGGGGTCCAATGGGTCAGTCCTGGGTCTGGTATTATTCAATATTTTCATTAATGACTGCAATAATTAAATGGAGAGCATGTTTATTAAATTTGCAAAAGACCTCAAGCTAGGAGGGGTTGCAAGCACTTTGGATGACAGGACTAAAAACTTAAAACAACCTTGACAAATTAGAAAAATTACTCTGAAATCAACCAGATAAAAATTAATAAAGACAAGTGCAAAGTACTTCACATAGCCCTGGTCTACACTGGGGGCGGGAGAGGGAAATCGATCTAATTTATGCAACTTCAGCTACGTAAATAAGGTAGCTGAAGTCAACGTACTTAGATCGACTTACCATGGTGTCTTCACCGCGGTGAGTCGACTGTTGCTGCTCCCCCATCGACTCTGCCTGTGCCTCTCGCAGTGGCGGAGTACAGGAGTCGACGGGAGAGCGCTCAGGGGTCAATTTATCGCATCTAGACTAGACGCGATAATTGATCGCCGCTGGATCGATCGCTGCCCGCCGATCTGGCACGTAGTGAAGACATACCCTTAGAAAATAAAAACCAAACATACAACTACAAAAAGAGGAATAACTGGCTAGGTGGTAGCACTGCTGAAAAGGATCTGGGGGTTACAGAGTGGATGACAAAATGAATATATGAGTCAACAATGTGATACGAAAGATTAATGCCATTCCAACATGTATTAACAGGAGTGTCTCATATGAAAGACATGGAAGGTTAACTTCTGCTCTACTCAGCACTGATGAGGCCCCAGCTAGAGTACTGGATCCAGTTCTGGGCGCCACAGTTTAGGAAAGATGTGGACAAAGTGGAGGGAGTCCAGCGGAGCGCAACAAAATGATAAAATGTTTAGAAATCCCGGCCTATGATGAAAGGTTAAAAAAACTGGACATGGTTAGTCATGAGAAAAGAAGACTGAGGGGGGACCTGATAAGAGTCTTCCCATATGTTAAGACCTGTTACAAAGAGGACATGTCTCCATGTTGACTGAAGGTAGGACAAGAAGTAATGGGTTTAATCTGCAGCCAGAGTTAGATATTAGGAAACATTTTTAACTATAAGGGTAGTTAAACTCTGGAATAGGCTGCTAAACACGGTTGCGGAATCCCCATTACTGGAGGTTTTTAAGAACAGGTTGGACAAACACCTGTTAGGGATGGTCTAGGTTTACTTGGTTCTGCCTCAGCACAGGGGACTGGACTAGATGACCTCTCGAGGTCTCTTCCAGCTCTACATTTCTATGATTCTATTAAAGTTTTAATTACAACTACAGGCATATTTAGGGGGACAGAACAAAATTACTCAATTTGGATACAACCAGGACACCAGGGTTAACGCCCTTACTCTTACGAAAGGGCTGTGGGATCTTTAATGACCACAACTGAAGTGTGACAAATACTCCTGTCCTCCACAATAACCGCATTTCCTCCTTTGCAATCCCAACATTTAACTACCAGATGGAGTAATTTCACACCAGGAAGTCAAGATAAGGGAAACCAGGAAATTTGACAAATAGCAGTAATAATGCCTTGTTATATAAATTGATAGGGTGCATCACAAGGATACATTTAGATTTTGGGAAATATCAAGGATCTCAGAAAAGAATTCTCTGTGTATCTCTGACTAAATGCAAATCTTGTGTTCACTTTATGCCCCGTATTTCTCCCTTTCCACTATCACTCACACATCAGCTCCTGCAAATGGTGGAGTGCTTGTTTTACCTTCACTGTCTGAACTGGGAAGCCTCCGTTTATGAAGTCGTCTTAGCTCCTTTCCATATCGAACACTTTTCTGTGAGCCATCGCTTTCTGAATCCTCCTTATAGTTAACTTGTCTCTTTTGATTCCGCCTTGATCTTCTCCGCCTAGTTTCCAGGTAATCATCATCACTGTAATCTGTGTAATCACCACTTTCTGCAAAGAAGAAAACAGCCATACGCTTTATTCTGTTAAAATGAAAATGCACAGACCCACTGTCACATTTCCAAAAGGTATGTTTGTTCAAACAAAGTGCAACCTTGAGTGAACAAAATCAACCACTCTAGTCACAGGAAAACCTCAATCTTTAAGCCTCTAACGGGAAGGTTGTGATCTTGACTGGGTCCAGCCTCATACTACTCCACTGGCTCCCCATTCATTTCCAGCTTGAAATTGCCGTCAGTTTTTAAATTCCACTATGGATTTTTCCAGTTACTCTCACAAACCTCTCCCACCCTCCTCTAGCATTGGTTTCCTTGTATCCTTCTATACAATCTTACCCCTACTTGTGTGAAACATACTTCTCCTCTACAGCTCCTGCCAACTAGAACAACCTGCTTGAAACTGAATTGATGATACAATCTCATTTCAATCTCCACTGGAAAATACCTCTGGCCCTTGATTTTTATTTAACTCTAATTTTATTATATGCAAGCATTTTTAGACGAAGTCCATGAAAGATATTGACAGAATAACAGTGAACTGTAAGCAGTGGTAAAAAATGAAGTGGATAAACTCAATTCCCCAAACGAGAAGTGCCTAAACTCTGTGTACCTTAGTTTACCCTTGACTATACTACTGATGGTAGGAAAGTACAGATTAATTGTTCTCAAGTCAGCAACAAGGAGATCAGTCCTATAGGTTTCAAAGCTGCAGCTACACGTTTGGTCGGAATACCAGATGAGAGTGTTTATAACAACCAACCCAGTCGTTCCTAGTTCTCGGTGCACCAGACTTCTGCAGAATTAGTGCCTTTTTAAGGTCTAGCTTGTCAGCCACTTTTTCCAGCAGCTGAAAATAACTGTGGTAGCGGGATCATGTTTAGCTACTTTTTCTTTGAACCATGTCAAAAACATTATTCTACAGTATTAATGCTGCCTTTTCATTCCAGGGCCACCCAGAGGATTCAGGGGGCCTGGGGTCTTTGGCAGCAGGGGTCCTTCTGCTCCGGGTCTTCGGGGCACTTCGCTGAAGACATGGAGCGGAAGGACCCCCGCTGCCAAAGACCCAGAGCAGAAGAAGCGGCGGCAGGTCTTTGGAGGCGGGTCCTTCACTCTGCGTGTGTTCGGTGGCACTGAAGGACCCGCTGCCGAAGTGCCGCCGAAACCTCTCGTGGGGGCCCCTGAAACCTCTCGTGGGGGCTCCTGCAGGGCCCGGGGCAAACTGCCCCACTTGCCCCCCCCCCCCCCCGGGCTGCCCTGTTTCATTTGCATCACAAGCTGCCCTGTCGTGTTATTAACTGAAATGACTCAGACTAAAACAGCCGTGTTTTTCCCTCAAAAACATTAAGGAAAAAGGTGAGAGCAAGTCAACAAGAGAGCTCAATGAGAAACCTCAAATCTGGAGAAGAAAAAAAGCAACCCTCCGTGTTTGTTATTTCTTTAGAACCAAAGTAAGGCGAGGCAGGCTCTCCAGAAAGAGAGTTTGTGGGGGTAAGGAAAGGAACATATAGTTAAGGCCACCACCCTTTGCGCATGCGGTGGGGAGGTGGTGAGGAGGGAAGAGAGAGAGAGAGATATACACTGCCTTGTGGAAAGGAACAGGACTGAAAACCTTGAAGACTGAGGTTCTTTATTTGTCCACAAAACAGATGAATAATGGGCAGCAGCAGTGCAAGCTTCTCCAGGGGTCAGTCCTGGAGCCGGTTTTGTTCAACATCTTTATTAATGATCTCAATGATGGGATTAATTGCGCCCTCAGCAAGTTCGCAAATGACACTAAGCTGGGGGGAGAGGCAGACAGACTGGAGGGTTGGGATAGGGTCCAGAGTGACCTAGACAAATTGAAGGATTGGGCCAAAAGAAATCTGATGAGGTTCAACAAGGAGAAGGGCAGAGTCCTGCACTTAGGAAGGAAGAATCCCATGCACTGCTACAGGCTGGGGACTGACTGGCTAAGCAGCAGTTCTGCAGAAAACGACCTGAGGATTACAGTGGACGAGAAGCTGGATATGAATCAGCAGTGTGCCCCTGTGGCCAAGAAAGCCAACGGTATATTGGGCTGTATTAGTAGGAGCATTGCCAGCAGATTCAGGGTGATTATTCCCCTCTATTTGGCACTGGTGAGGCCACATCTGGAGTAGTGTGTCCAGTTTTGGGCCCCACACTACAAAAGGGATGTGGACAAATTGGAGAGAGTCCAAAAAGAAAAATGATTAGGGGGCTCGGGCACAGGACTTATGAGGAGAGGCTGAGTGAACTGGGGTTATTTAGTCTGCAGAAGAGAAGAGTGAGGGGGGATTTGACAGCAGCCTTCAACTACCTGAAGGGTGGTTCCAAAGAGGATGCAGCTAGGCTGTTCTCAGTGGTGGTAGATGACAGAACAAGCAGCAGTGGGGGAGGTCTAGAATGGATATTAGGAAACATTATTTCACTAGGAGGGTGGTGAAGCACTGGAATGGGTTACCTAGGGAAGTGGTAGAATCTCCATCCTTAGAGGTTTTTAAGGCCTGGCTTGACAAAGCCCTGGCTGGGATGATTTAGTTGGTGTTGGTCCTGCTTTGAGCAGGGGATTGGACTAGATGATCTCCTGAAGTCTCTTCCAACCCTAATATTCTATGATCAAGCTGCCATGGAGGAATCACTTCCAGAGATAAGAAGGGAGCTCAACTTCCAGGCACACTGAGCCTTTGACCTCTCTTCCAGCTGTCAAGAGCATTAGTGCATATATTAATTAAGGTGGTATTTTTTGTGATGGCCACATGACCACTAGGAACTGCTCCCAAGTATTTAGCTGCATTAAGGTGTAGATTAGTAATAACTTCAGATCCTTTAGCTTCTGCATCAGTTGCTGTCATATTTTCATTAATCATAGACTACCACAATTTCCACTATGAATCTCTGTATACGTTCAGACTCTAACCATTTCTTTCTTACACTCATTGTTGGTCTCTTAGTGGCATGCAGAAAAGGAAGACAGCTTACGGAACAATCATTTTAAGCTCATACACCTTTCTTAATTTGCCCATACATAAAAACTCACATTGGAGACCAGCCATTCAATGAAAAATAAATGGACACAAATCAGATGTCAAGAATTATAACATTCATAAACCAGTCGGAGAACACTTCAATATCTCTGGTCACGCGATTACAGACATGAAAGTTGCTATATTACAACAAAAAAACTTCAAATCCAGACTCCAGCGAGAAACTGTTGAATTGAAATAAATTTGCAAATTGGATACAATTAACTTAGGCTTGAATAGAGACTGGGAGTGGCTAAGTCATTATGCAAGGTAACCTATTTCCCCTTGTTTTTTCCTAACCCCTCCCCCTCAGGCGTTCTTGTTAAACCCTGGATTTGCGCTGGAAATGGCCCACCTTGATTATCATATACATTGTAAGGAGAGTGATCACTTTAGATAAGCTATTACCAGCAGGAGAGTGGGGTGGGAGGAGGTATTTTTTCATGCTTTGTGTGTATATAAAAAGATCTTCTATACTTTCCACAGTATGCATCCGATGAAGTGAGCTGTAGCTCACGAAAGCTTATGCTCAAATAAATTGGTTAGTCTCTAAGGTGCCACAAGTACTCCTTTCCATTTCATTCTGCAGCTCAGCTGACTTCAGAAAGATGGATACAATAGTGAAAAGGCCATTCAATACCTGCAATGAGCTAATCCTGCAAGGTGCTGGTGCCTTCAACTCCCAATGGCATTAGGTAGTTTTGGGCCCAGTCCTACAAAGTAAGTGACACTCCTGAGAAAGCTCTTCCTGAAAAGTGCTATCTCCTCATGGAATGCTATGAGAATACATTATTAAGAGACAAAATTTACCTAGTCTCTGATTTATTTCTTCTTGATTAGTAAGGACAAATACACGCAAGAAAAAAATATATTCTCCCCTTAGTTCATCTGCTTCCACTGCTTATTCCTCTGTGTAGGAATCATTTTCACACAGTCAGCTGTATTTCAGACAGAGGATGGATTTTGATTGGGGAACAGGCAGTATAAGGCAAGGAACAAAGACGCTGTTGTCATGCAAGTGTCCCTAGTAATTAAAGTTCAAAAGCGAGAAATATCGAAACCATAGATTCATAGATTATAAAGTCTGAAGGGATCACTACTGTAATTTACTTTGTCCTCTTGTTTAACATAGATCATAGTACAATAATTCCTGCCGTTGAGGAAATTATTCTTCCCTCCTAAGAAATCAGGGATTGAGTTTCTCTAAGCAGTGGGCTTTTGAAAGTTTTCCATGAGGCATTAGCAGATCTCTGAGTACACACAATGAAATAGTTCTTTGAACTACTTTTCCTGCTAAGTTTAAACAAAATATTGGGCACCCACAAAATACGCAAAGAGATGCAACTGGAAATGAAACATCAGGAATCTGCCAATTCTGCATACAATTGCCTGTTTTGCCCTCACAACTTAAGCACCCATTTAAAAATGAATGTGACCCAAAGAACCTAACACTCAACACTAATTTCCTTTTGTGCATTTTGAACAGAACACTCAGACCAAGTGAAAACCTTAAATAAGGAACATAATTATTAAAAAACAGTACTTGCATGACACTTTTCATTTCCAAAGCAACTCACAGAGACATCTAATTAACTACCACAACACCTCTATTGCAAAAGCAATAGCCCTATTTTTACAGCTAGAACCTTAGAAACACAGATGACATATGACTTGACTGAATCCATATAGCCAAGTTCAAAGTCCAGGCCAAGATTAGAACTCAGGAGTGTGTAAGCCACCTGTCCTTTTGCTTGGGCCCTCTTCTCTGACACACAACAGCTAACTCTTCAAAAGTTAAGCTTACCAGACTCCCTACTTAAATTGTCCTCAGAGTCTTCCTCTTCATCATCCTCTGAATATTTTTTCTTGACTGTTTTTCTTCGTAACCGCCTGCTTTGTCTCATTGGCCTGGAGTGGTGTCGCTTGGGTCTACGGGCACAGAACTCTGTATCACTGTCTTCGTTTGACAGCTGATCATCTTCACTTTCATCTGGGTTTTCCTCTGATACAACAAACTCGTCCTGAGATCTGTTAAAAAAAATTACAGCCAAAAGAGAGATACTTGAAATAAATGGACTAAAATACTGTAACATATAGGAGTTAGATATATTTAATATAGCTTATAATAAATTTAGATGTTATTTCAAGAATACATTTCTCTCTCTCTCTCTGTTTGGAAAGCCTAAGAGTGTTTCACAAAAATGAATGAATCTTCTCAAAACTAATGTGAGGCATCAAATCTTTACGCTGAGATCAACATACACAACACTGAAATTAAACACTTGCTGCATACCTGAAGGTGCCTTTACAGAATATAACGTTACACAGTAGATTAGGACAGTAAGTGAATTCAAATGCTGTATCTAATTGAAACTGCAGGTGGCTTTATTTAGGCTGCATTCTAATTGGCTCAGTACTTCAGGATAAACACCACTATTCTTATGAAACATTCTTTAAGTACCCACAAATGGTCAAGACTTCAGTTTGTGTGTCTTGTATGAAATATGGCACCCTCACACCTACGGTGCCTTCTGTCATACTGGTTCAGTAATAGTTCAGGCAGAACACCAGCTGCGAAACAGTTTCATGTTTCGCCTACAGTAGGTGTTCCCTTGAGATCTCTCATTCAAGCACTGACTAAATACAAATCTATTCACTTGTGAGAGTTGAAAGAATCATATCCATGAAGCTGATGCATTTATGAATAAACTTCTAATTCACTGATTTATATTACTGGTCTTTCAGCCCTCCTGTCATATAAAGACTGAGCCAATTTATATAACAGTTAAGCAGCCTACCTGAAAAAAAAGGTTCATATGCAACAGTAATAGGCATCCAACTTTCCTATATGAATGCAAACTCTCATCGAACAGCCAACAGGTAATTAGTAGAGATTATTGTTGAAAATACGTGGACTCATCAATGCAGCGCTAATTCAGTGAGATTTTTACGGGCTGAATTCACTAATTAGGAAAGTTCCAGCACATCTTGCTCAACCACTGAAAAACCTTCAACACCATCACATGTGGAAAATGGAGCTGAAGAGATTTAAATAGAGATAGTTCCAAAACACAACAAGAGGGGTAATGAACAGCATGTCAGCTTTACGGGCTCTCAGCAAAGGGGGGGGAACAAAGTCTTGTACCCTTTAGTGAGTCTTTAGGAGGCATAAAAAAAGGACTGAAAGGATTTTTAACTTTAGAAATTCAGGTCTGTCTGATCTGGAGAATTCTGATGACTGAAAAACTAATGAAATGGCAGCATCCCAAGAAAGTGAAAAGCTGAGCAATTCAGAAGGGGAAGGGATTTTTAATCAGACTGCTTAAAATGTATTTAACATTTTAGGTTTCATGTTCTTGAGAGGGTAAACTCTACCTTTTCCTGATCTCCACATCTAGTTCTGCTGGTTTCTGAACCTCAAATCTGTAGTATGCTAAAAATCAAAAGTTGATTTCTATAGCCTCCTTTAATTCTAAGATATCTATGAGGTCTTGTCTACACTAGAAAGTTGTGACTAGATTTTCTATATTGATAGTATAAGATGCCTTATACTAGCACTGCAATTCCCATACAGTAAGAAACACAACTCTATTGGTATAAGTCACCTTTATACCAATATAAATGTGTCCACACTAGGGCTTTCACTGATGTGACTATTTTTTTTTTTTAAACAAAAACACCATACCCCTAACTGAAAGAGTTAGACTAATAAAAATTCTAAGTCTAGACCTGGCCTTAACAGGAAACCCACTCTTACAGCTTCAAACCGCAAAGAGACAACCCAGTGGCATTGTAAATTCACAGAAACCTGCAGTGGTTAATAACCGAAGACTAGTAGTTTAAACAGCTACCTACCCATCACTGATCCTGAACTCATCCTCACTCTCTTCCTCATCCAGGTTACTATCACTATCGAGGTCGTTCAGTCGCCGTCGTTTCTTGCGACGTGCTGCAGCAGCCCTTTGTGGCCGCTTATTTTCTTTCCTTTCTTCCTCTAGGATGGTGGAAATGTCTTTTCCCCGGTGACCTGTGATATTAGACATGTCTTTGCCTCTGCCAACACCTGTGTTAGTGGGAGAGGGGGAAAATAAGCTGCAAGTTAATTATAGCATTTCATATTCAATTTCACAGAGACCTTCCCATCCTGCTGCTAATTTCAACTTCCTTTTATAAAGGAGACCCCTCTCATCATCCAAGACTCAAGTTCTTGAACCCAGCTTTCTTACATCCACAGCTATACTAATGTGTCCAGTTTTGGGCCCCACACTACAAGAAGGATGTGGATAAATTGGAAAGAGTCCAGCGAAGGGCAACAAAAATGATTAGGGGTCTGGAACACATGACTTATGAGGAGAGGCTGAGGGAACTGGGATTGTTTAGTCTGCAGAAGAGAAGAATGAGGGGGGATTTGATAGCTGCTTTCAACTACCTGAGAGGTGGGTCCAGAGAGGATGGTCCTAGACTATTCTCAGTGGTAGAAGTGGACAGGACAAGGAGTAATGGTCTCAAGTTGCAGTGGGGGAGGTTGAGGTTGGATATTAGGAAAAACTTTTTCACTAGGAGGGTGGTGAAACACTGGAATGCGTTACCTAGGGAGGTGGTGGAATCTCCTTCCTTAGAGGTTTTTAAGGTCAGGCTTGACAAAGCCCTGGCTGGGATGATTTAGTTGGTGTTGGTCCTGCTTTTGAGCAGGGGGTTGGACTAGATGACCTCCTGAGGTCCCTTCCAACCCTGATATTCTATGATATTGAGTATTTTTTTGGAAGAGCTATAATCCCTAACACTTGGGAGCACAAACCAACTATTTACCCAGGGGATGTTAGAAAGAAGTTTCCCTATGGGCAGGTTACTGGAAAACTGTGCATTACAGGAATGCCAGCACCTTTCTCTGAAGCATCTGATACTGGCTACTGTCTGGGACAGCATACTGGGCTAGATGGACCACTGATCTGATATGACATAGCATTTTAATATGTTCTTAAGACAAACTCAGGGACACACACAAAAACAAGATTATGAATGTTCTTGGACGACAAGAAGTCTGAATATGATGTGGGACTGAAGGAAAACTAGGGAGTAGATTCAAGGATATGACGTGCTTGGGATAACTGAAAGGGAACAGTATTATTAAGAGTATTGTTATAGACAGAACAGAAGAGTGCGGTGGGGGAAGAGGTGAGACAGGAAAATTAGAGATACGGTTCTCGTAATCAAGGTGAGAGATGCCCAAGTCATGGATAAGTGTTGTAGTGGCGGAGAGAGAGATAGGAAAGAACACACCGATTTTAAAGAAGTAGTAGTAACAAGACTTAGTGAGGGAACTGCGTGTGGCTGAAGGAGAGTTGGGAAGTCTGAGATGGCATTAGCAGCTTGGGAGACAACGGATAGTAGCAGAGTTCTTAGTGATGCCAGAGAGCAAATGAATGGAGAAGGACGAAGGATTAGGAGGAAAGATGAGCAGCCCTGTTTTGGAGAGACTAGATTTGAGTTGATAGCAAGACACCTACAAAAGGTGTAGTTGTGAGATGTGAGAGTCAATCAATCAATGGCACCAATGGTCTTTACAGAGCATGGTGTACGTCCCGATGATTTCTTTGGCAATCATTTATAAAGGACTGCCAAGGGAGATGGGAGTCACCAGGCAGCTATATCCATAGGCCTTCTACCCGGCGTATTTTACTCCAGCCACTTATGCACCAGTAATTAGCATATGCTAACAAACTATTGCCATAACTGAATGCAAGAGGTGGGCTGTGGTTGCACACCCTATCACATACAACCTGACTGGGGAACTAGTTTTGAAACTGGCCGATTAGGAGGTGACACGAGCCCTACCACAAGGAAATAAGTAGTGGGAACATTAGCTTAGCAGCGTTTAGATAGCTAAGCTGAGCAGCAGTCAGGGTATACTGACATTTATTGATGCAATTATAAAACAAAAAATAAATACAAAGTGTGTGCACACGCCCACACTCCCAAACCTGAAAGAGCTGTGTGTGGCTCTCTCACCAACAGAAGTTGGTCCAATGAAAGATATTACAACCTGAGGCCGTATACCCTCACACAACACCATATGAGAATGATGAAGCATGGTCACTCCCTCTGCTGTCCTAACCACGTCTGGTCCTGAAGGCTCAGGGTGTTCCCCATGATAAGTAACACCACGTCTGGATGGAAGTGCTCCAGGAGATAGATACCACTTTTAGTGTTAAAAATATTTTGTTTAGTTGTTTTTATCTTGGTGGGACAGAGACTTAATTTACTTGTATTAATTGAATTATTAATTATGTTAGGGTCCTTAGAGCCTTGAATAAGTACATTACTTTAAATCTAAATAAATAGAAAAATAATCAGGCTTGATTTTCAGACTGCCTGTGCACATCCATAGGGCTTTTGAAAAAACAGGCATAGTTCTGAGGATTCAAAAAGAACAGGAGGAAGGGATTATCTGAACATTTTAAACATGCAAGAGATGTTGAAGCACAAATCCCACTGACAGGCAATAGGCACCGAGCTCCTAAATCCCTTGGGCATATTTGGAAAAATCTCCCTCAGATCTTCACCATGTCACAAAAGAAAAAGGTTTCAGAGTAACAGCTGTGTTAGTCTGTATCTGCAAAAAGAACAGGAGTACTTGTGGCACCTTACAGACTAACAAATTAAAACTTATGCTCTAATAAATTTGTTAGTCTCTAAAGTGCCACAAGTACTCCTGTTCCTTTTTACAAAAGAAAAAGAAAGACAAATTAGAATAATAAGATTAAGTTATAATTTTCTAACTTCGTTCTATTTTATTTTTTTTTAAGCTATTAGCTCCTTCCATCTGAGGATCTCGAAGAGATTTACAAGCATTAATGAATAAAGTTTCACAACACATCTGTGCAGTACGGAAGTACTGACCAAGATTAGGGCCAACATTTTCAAGATGTTCACTAGCTTTGGGTGCCTCAATGTGAAAACACATAGTAGCCCAATTTCCAGAGGTATTGAACACCAGCAGCACCCAGTGGCTTCCTAATCTGGCCATCCAAAGTTAGGGAGTTATTATAAAATGTTTGGTTCTTGATGCTGAGTTTTATGTTTAGATATTTAAAAAAGTAAAAACTTAAATTATTAACAAAAGCTACATGATTTTTCTCTACATGGACTCTCCAACACATGATACCCATTGCCCCACAACCAGGGAAATTGCTACAGTATTTGCATTTGAAAGTCCAGTTGTAAAAATGTCAAGTTATGCAGAGATTCAGATGAGGTATCAAAGGTCAGGACTACGTGCATTCCCTCTGGCATTGTAATAGAATGTGCGTCATACCAGCCCAACATGTCACCCATTTTAACTATACAAATAGTAAGTAACAGAAACCTACCTCCTCCATCGGCCTCCTTGATATCATCTTCTATTGCTTCATCAATTGCCTCATCAAATTCATCAAATCTAAAAATAGTATCTTTTATTTACTACTTTGAAACAGAGCACAATTCAGATATATTTTGAAGTCACGTCTCAAAATCTAAAATAGCTGTAAGAATTCAGAGTGCTTCAGACATTCCAAAAGTGAGGGAAAGTGGTAAAATAATCAGAAAATCATCATACGTATTCATAGCATACTAGACAGATGCTCAATGGGTTTTTTTAAAAATATGTAGAGCATGTCCAGCTTCTAGCACAATCTAGCAGGATGGATATATATTACTACCTGGGCTGACTTACTAATAATTTAGATAAATTCACAAAAACACCTCCTTCTTACAGGGTATGCTACTGAATTAAAAAAAACACAATGTGAATATTTTGTTTTAAAACTATTTCAGCAAAAATTTTCACAAGAAATAGTTGCTTATTGATTATGCCAAACACCCCGCTCCTACCCCGATGGCATATGCATCTTTGTCCACCCCCAGCTTATGCAGTCAGGGACTAGAGATATGCAGAGCATGGGATTGCATCCCTACCTTGGCTAATAGTCATTGATGTTTCTATCCTTCATGAGTTTATATAGTTTTGGCCTTCACAACATCCCGTACAACTAGAACCACAGGTTGACTGTGTGATGTGTGAAGTACTTCCTTTTTTTGGTTTAAGCCCACTGCCTGTTAATTTCATTGGGTGACCCCTCCTTTTTGTGTTATGTGAAGGGATAAACAACACTTGCCTATTCACTTTCTCCACCCCAGTCATGATTTTATAGACCTCTACCATATCCCCCTTAGTCGTCTCTTTACTAACCTGAACAGTCCCAGTCTTTTTAATCTCTTCACACAGATGATGTTCCACACCCCTAATGATTTTTGTTGCCCTTCTCTGTAACTTCTCCAATTCCAGTATATCTTTTTTGACATGGGGCAACTAGAACTACATGCAGGATTCAAGGTGTGGGCGTACCATGGATTTATAGAGTGGCGTGATGATATTTTCTCTCTTATTATCTACCCCTTTCCTCATGGGTCCTAACATTGGTTTTTTGTTTTTTTTTTTGGACTGCTGCTGCAGCACATTCAGAGGATGTTTTCAGAGAACTATCCACAATGACTCCGAGATCTCTGTCTGGAGTGGTAACAGCTAATTTAGATCCCATCATTTTGTACGTGTAGATGGGATTATGTTTTCTAATCTGCATTACTTTGCATTTTTCAACATGGAATTTCATCTGCCATTTGGTTGCCCAGTCATCCGGTTTTGTGAGATCCACTTGTAACTCTTCACAGTCAGTTTCGGATGTAACTATCTTGAGTAGTTTTGTATCATCTGCAAATTTTGCCACATCCTTGTTTATCCCTTTTTCCAGATCATTTATAAATATTTTGAGTAGCACTGGTCCCAATATAGATCTTTGGGGAACACCACTATTTATCTCTCTCCATTCTGAAAACTGACCATTTACTCCTACCCTTTGTTTCCTGTCTTTTAACCAGTTACTGATCCATGAAATCTTATCCCATGACTGCTTACTTTGCTTAAGACCCTTTGGTGAGGGACCCTGTCAAAGGCTTTTTGAAAATCCAAGTATACTATATCCACTGGATCATCCTGTCCACGTTTGTTGACCCCCTCAAAGAATTCTAACAGATTGGTAAGGCATGATTTCACTTTACAAAAACCATGTTGACTCTTCCCCAACAAATCGTGTCCATCTATGTGTCTGATAATTTTGTTCTTTACTATAGTTTCAACAAATTTGCCTGGTACTGAAGTTAGACTTACCAGCCTGTTATTGCCAGGATCACCACTGCAGCCTTTTTAAAAAATTGGTGTCACATTAACTATCCTCCAGTCATCTGGTACAGAAAATGATGTAAGTGATAGGTTACATTCCACACTTAGTGGTTCTATAATTTCATATGCGAGTTCCTTCAGAACTCGAGTGAATAATATCTGGTCTTGGTGACTTATTTACTATTTAATTTATCAATTTGTTCCACAACGTACTCTACCGATACCTCACTCTGGGACAGTTGCTCAGATCTGTCACCGAAAAAGAATGGCTCAGATGTAGGAATCTCCCTCATATCTTCTGCAGTGAAGATTGGTACAAAGAATTCATTTAGCTTCTCCACAACGGCCTTATTGTCCTTGAGTGCATCTTTAGCACCTCAATTGTCCAATGGCACACTGATTGTTTGGCAGGCTTCCTGCTTCTGATGTACTTTAAAAAAATTTTTGTTGTCACTTTTTGAGTCTTTGGCTAGTTCCTCTTCAAATTCTTTTTTGGCCTGCCTAATTATATTTTCACACTTGACTTGCCAGAGTTTATGCTCCTTTCTATTTTCCTCAGTAGGATTTAACATCCAATTTTTAAAGGGTGCCTTTTTGCCTTTACCTACTTTTCCTTAACCACCTTAACCATGGTAGCATTTTTTTGGTCCTCTTACTATGTTTTTTAATTTGGGGTACACATTTAATTTGAGCCTCTATTATGGAGATTTTAAAAGTTTTCATACAACTTGCAGGCATTTCACTTTTGTGACTGTACCTTTTAATTTCCGTTTACCTAGCTTCCTTATTTTGTGTAGCTCCTATTTCTGAAATTAAATGCTACTGTGGTGGAATTCTTGGTATTTTCCCACCCCCACAAGGATGTTAAATTTAATTATATTATGGTCACTATTATTTACAGGTTGAAATATGCTGTAAAGTAAACTGGAAGGACAAAAGCAAAAGTATTATTTTTTCATATTTTGTATGTTTGCTATAGCAGCCTTTACAATTTTGAATGTGACTTTGTACATGAGAAAGCAATTTAAAGGCAATCTGCAAATAGAAGAAAACAGGGTCTGTTCCCTCTTTGGTTTGATGTACAAAAGACGACAGGTTTTTGTTTAAAAAGATATGTTTAGTTTAGTTTCTTCAGTTGGAAACTCAGGTCTTGTCTACCTTGGTTTCCCTGGAAGACACTATGGATGGGCAAAAAGCTAGTAGGCCTATGACATCTGATGCATGGAAATGAAATTGGATTAATTGTCTGGAGAAGTACATTTTATTCAGGTTTCAGAGTAACAGCCGTGTTAGTCTGTATTCGCAAAAAGAAAAGGAGTACTTGTGGCACCTTAGAGACTAACCAATTTATTTGAGCATAAGCTTTTGTGAGCTACAGCTCACTTCATCAGATGCATTCTGTGGAAAATACAGAAGATGTTTGTTTTTATACACACAAATCATGAAAAAATGGGTGTTTATCACTACAAAAGGTTTTCTCTCCCCCCACCCCACTCTCCTGCTGGTAATAGCTTATCTAAAGTGACCACTCTCCTCACAATGTGTATGATAATCGAGGTGGGCCATTTCCAGCATAAATCCAGGGTTTAACAAGAACGTCTGAAGAGGGGTGCGGGGTTAGGAAAACAAGGGGAAATAGGTTATAAACCTCAACCTAAGCTGTCTCTCTGAGATTGACTGTCTCTAAGTTTTGCTTCCAGGACCTCCTGTGTTCACAGAAGGGTGTTCCTACCTTTCATATATCCAGTTAATGAGTGGCACCTGCCACACAGAGCCTGTGGGACTTCAGCAGTTTGACAGACAGATAAAATTCTACTTCCTCCCCCCTTCATATTTTTTAATTTAAATGCTTACCAGCTGGAGAAAACCTATTTTAATAAAGGTTCAGCCCTTAACTGAATGAGCGAGAGAGATCCTCATTCTGTACCTTATATGCAAAACAGGGAAACTATTCCTAATATTTCTTTGGGTGAAAACCAGCAGATTTTCTTCATAACAAAAGATTTCTGGCCTTCTTTGTACATCATAAAGAAGCAAATCCTCACAATTGCATGTCACCTTTAAAGTGCATTTATGGTAAAATAAGCAACTCTGAAATACCATCTTTGTGAGGTTTATTCTAAGGTACTTCCAAACAAGATTTTTTTCTTCTAACAAAAATCTTTTCACTTAATTTTGTCTTTGGAACAATTAAGCTATTCCTTCCATTCCACATATCACTACTAATAACTATTTTGGAATCAAGTGTTAGCTGACAATTGTCTTTCCATATATGAGGCACAACACAGGACAGCTTGCTCTTCTGCAGTTTTAGTAGTTCAGTAGGTTTGACTTTTTTTAACCTGTTCATCAGTAAGTGATGCCGATGACTCCAAAGACACAGAAAGCAGGTATCTGAACAGAACTAACATATATTTTATAGATTCATTTATGAGCAAAATAAGACTTTAGGATTTATTTTCCCTCACTGAAGGAGGGCCTACACAGTTCCCATTAACACATACTAGACTTCCATTGTATATGTGTGAATTTGAAGTCATGTACAGACAATACACACACACACATTCACAAACTCAAAGACATCTATCATGTACTGTGCAAGAGACACTTCTGTCATTTTAGATAGTAAGACTGAGTATCAAATGTAATGCTGTATGAAACAAATTATTTCCGTAATGCTGTATGAAACAAATTATTTCCATTTAAAAATCGCAAGCCCTGCAGGACTTTATAAACCCATCGCAGTACTGTCAAAATATCCTAGAGGCAAAAACATTTTCCATTGGCTCAGTGACTGCCTCAACTGTCAGGAGCATGATAGCAAATCTATAAAAACCTGCCCTTAGCATCATGTCTCTTACAAGCGATATTGAATTTTATATACCAGCAGTAATATTTTCCTCAGTGTGGCATGTGTTGTTAACTAAGGGAGGTTACTCCTTAGGCATTCTGTTATAAAAAAATTAAAAATTCTGCACACAATATTTTAAAATTCTGCAGATTTTATTTGTCAAATAAATGTGGAGGCTCCAGCATGGCATTGGGGAGCACATGCCACTGGCTGCACAAAAGTGGGAGATCACTGTACAGTTCCCTGCCCCGGGACACAGACTCAGCAGTGAGGCTGCACCCAATCCCGACAGCACAAGGACCGGCCTGCCCCAGAAACAACCCAGGGCCCTGCCCCTCCATGCCAGGTGCATCAGGTGTGGGCAGGCAGGCTCATCAAGGCAGGATCCAAGTGTGGAGGGGCTTAATGTGGGGGGATCCAGGTGTAGGTTTAGAGGGTTCTGTGTGGGGCAATCTGGGTGCAAACGGCTCAGTGGGGGGATCCGGTGCAGGGGGAGGGGGGTAAGTCTGGATGCACAGGGGCTTGTTGGAGGGCTCTGGGTGCAATGGTAATGGGACTCTGCAGGGGGTCCAAGTGAAGGTGGTTGGGGCTCAGCGGGAGGGATAGAGGGGTCTGGTGTGGGGGGATAGAGCTCTGAATGGGGGTCTGAGTGTGGGGGTCTCAGTGGCGGGGTGCCGATGTTGGGAGAGTGGGATGGGGATCCAGGTGCAGCTGGTTGGGGCTCGATAGGGTGGGGATCTGGATGAGGGTGGTTCGTTGAGGTGGTCCCGGTGCAGGGGAGTGGGGCTCGTCGGGGGGGGGGGGGGGTGTCTGGGTATGGGGGGAGGGTGAGGCTTTGCAGGAGAGTCTGGAGCAAGAGGGGGTCTGGATGTATGGGGGTTGGGTGGAGGGGGGAGCAGCTTCCTGTACAGGGATCCCTCCCCCTGCAGATGAGGAGCGATGGGTGCAGGAAGCGTGTGGGAGTTCGCAGAGCTTCCTACAGCCAGCAGAGAAATCTGGGGGTGGGTCTGACACGGCCCCGGATGCCGGGCAGGGGAAAAGTCAGTCTCGTCCTCCCCAGCTCTGCCGGGACTAGCAGCTGAGCCCGGTGCAGGTTAAGAGCCACCAGCCAGGTCTTCCCCAGTCCCACCTGCTGCCACACAGTGATTTACCTCTCTGCCAGCTGCCCTGGTTACCCAAAACATGCTGCTGGGGAGGGTCACATGATTGCTCTTGTGGCTTCCCTATGAGAAAGTCACTTTTCTGCGAGGAAGCAAAGAAATCTGCGGGGGACAAATTCTGTGCATGCGCAGTGGCACAGAATTCCCCCAGGAGTAGGTGGTACTGAAAAATATCAACAGTTAATTAAGATAAAATTCCTGAGTGCTCAGTGAACATCACACTGGCAAATTCATCATGTTATACTAATGCCCTATCATTCACTGAGAGGAGAGCCAAATTAGTTATTGGCTTAAACATGGTTGTTGCCAGCATGGTTTTAAACAGTTTTCTTGCGGACCAACGTGGCCATTGATCACTTAAAAGCAGTACTAGCTATGCTGTACGACAAACTACTTCAGGAAGTAATCTACAGCACAGTTCTAGAACATACTTGGGGGGGGGGGGGGGGGGGGGGAATCTTATGAACCTGCTAGCAATAACTGTCTAGAAACACAGGTGACATGACTATTCTGTTTCCAGCTATTCTGCAGAAGTAAAGTTCATTTTTCTCACTTTGTCTCTTGTGATAAGGTTTTTATTTGTACATTCCTTCAGATGTTTTCAGAGGAAAGGGGCAATGGGAAAAAAGGAATAGGAACGCAAAGCTTTCAGACATTTGTATTAGTCAGTCCTCCATTAGAGGGGAGAACAGATGTATTGGCCAGTATTAGTATTTTGCATATAGTGCAATAAGAATAAAGTATTTTCTAAGATGGTTTTATTTCCCATATCAGTACGCTAAACACTGTATCTGCTCTTATATGTCGGTCATCCAAAGTGGCACCTTTGCTCTATGCTTGGTAATCATGTATAGTATTCAAAAGCAAGACTGAAGACACTATAATTTGATCAGTTGGCTAACCATAAAAGTACCCTCTAAGAAGCAGGTGAGTGGATGGACAGAGGAAATGGCAATATATTATTATTATTATTATTCTCCAGTTGGAGAACAAGCTGCCTACCTGTAACTTATGCATTTCCGTGTTCTAGTAGACCTCCTTTCAAGCCGTTTTGATTTTGACTTTTTGGAGTCTTTCTTCTTTTCTTCCTGACTTTCCAGTATTTCTGGCTCCTGTTGAAGTATGACAACAAGTGTTAATTATGCTGGAGCAGATATAAGATAGCTTTGTCTCCCCTCTTAAGATTCACGAAGACTGAGCTGGAATTGTCTATTTTCATGTCAAACAGATAAGTGGTGTGTGCAAAACATTTCAAGTTCCCAAGTGGCTGACTTATATACAGGTACCTAGTTCACAGGTACCCAGTTCTCTTTGTGGTACTACAGATAACAAAGGCAAGATTTACTAGCAACATAATCCTGTAAGTACCTGGATTGAGGATGTAGATTACAGTTACAGTAGTGACATTATGATTCTAGTTGAGGTGACACTTTCAGGCCTTGTCCATGCTACAGTTGAACAAGATAGTTGCCAACAAGTGTTTGCAGCCATTGTAAACTGGGATTTTTTCCTGTGTGTACCATTATATTGATCACCTCCTCTAGACAGCTGACAGTTCTGGAGAAAAAGATCCATATTATGTCCCCACTCTTTACATACCTTTTTGTGGTACAGTTTCAGTCCCACTCTGGACAGGGCTTTAAATTCTATGCCATTATTTCCAGAGCCTTAGTTTTCAATAAAAATTGACCTTTGGGCTGAATGTTTTGTTCTTATCAAGAGGTGTAGTGATGGTTTGTTTTTTGGGGAGAAAGAGGCTTGTGGTGTTTTGTTTTTTTAAGTTTGGTGAAATCCCATTGAGCCATTTCTCTGTTATCCAAGTGTGGAGGGAGAAAATTTGTTTTAGCACAATAAGTTACAGTGGATAAGTCTACCTGACATTTATGGTTTGAACAAGTTTAAATGTAAAAGCTCATTTACTGGGCCTGGATTAAATCATCTGTTAGGAAGGCATAAGAAAAAATCACTTTGAAATGAGTTTATGAGGGAAAAAGCACAAGCTCTGAAGGAGCACACCATTTTTCTCCCATTTGGGGAGTTGGGGGGGGGGGGGGGGGGGGAGAGGGTCAATAAACTTTTGCCACAACATTCTGGCTGAAATCTTGCAAGGCAATGGAAAGAATTATGATTCCTTCAGCAGCTGTAACTCACAGTGTACACTTGTATTAAGACAAACAGTTAATACAATATCCAGTATCAGAAGATCCTGCCTATAGTAAGAGAGAAGTTATGGATGCTGTGGGCACCATAACTTGGAATTTTCTGACTTTTGTGAATATAAAAACCAAAATCAAAACACTGTTATTGTAGTCTTTTTGCAGAGAAAGTGAACTCCGGACAGCAACTGGTTTCTTTCAGGAAGTCCCAATATGTCAAATTACATTGGCACCAAAAATAAAGACCTGCTCATTTATTTAACAGTGTAGTTTTAAAAGAGGACAAGAAAATTTCTTTGGGGGTGCACAACTGACTTAGCCTATCAATTATCAGGAAAGTGATAATCAGAATTGAAAAAGGTAAATAATGTCTTAATTGCCTGTGAAGTATTTTACTTAGCACTATTAATAAGGCTTTAAGCTCTTAAAATTTGAACAGATTTTCTTGATCCCAAAATAAAGCAACAGCAATTAATATCCTTGCCTAATTCTTACACTCTCACCAGCTAAAATGTGAGCCACTGAATTAATTCTCATCTACCTGTTAATTAATGTATTGCCTTGAAAGAGCATTTGCCACTCCTAACACTTCGGTGTTCCGTTCCCTGTGACCACATAGGGACTGTTGAGTAATGATGCAGAGTAGACAACATCTTTGCGAAGCCACTCTTTTGAGCAGTTCCAGAAATGATTTTTTCACCAAGCTAGATATACTAAAAGGACTCAAATTATTTTCATTATCAATACACAAAACAGCAAATTACAATATAGGGCAGTAAACTGTACTTAGGCCCTGATCCAGCAAAGAACTTAAGCATGTGCTTAAACACCATAGTAGTTTTATTTGGTAAAATTTTGAACCTAAACAATGTTGACAATTTCCTTTTAAAAATGATGCAAATCTTATGTTAGTATCTTTGTTAAAAAAAGAAGACTGAAGTAAGTCACTTATTGCAGTAAGCACATTTAGGAAATGAAAGACCACCACAACACAGCTGAATCAACTTACTTGTGGTGGGATGATGTTCTCAATACTGATACCCACATACACCAATCGCTCTTTCCTTGGGAGAGAAAGAAAATTAAAAATAGTTCACAAGAAGCCTGTTTGTAAAATGGTACAGATTTAAAACAATGATCTAATCAGTATCATTCAGAGCTGTTCATGCAGTCACGCAGAAGCAGCCCTATGAGTTGTCTCACTGCAAAACACAAGTTTCCAGACCTTGATTAAAGTTAGTAAGTATTATTTGTCTTGAAGGATCACAATTTCCTTTACATGTGAAACTGGTGACTTTACAAACAGTTCAGACAACTACAAGTTTCTGAAGGGAACAGACACCGAGGAAGGAGAGGAATGGGTTACTGTGGTACGAGGGAGGGTAACTAGTAGTAACAGACCAAAATTAAGGAAAATTTAGAAAATAAAGAAACGGTTGAATATCTAGAAAAACAGAGCTGTTAGGCTGTGGAAGAGTCTCCCAAGGGAAGCCACATCTTTTGAGGAATTTAAATCTAGACTGGACAATATAATGTGCTAAGAAATATACTGTAGAGAGCAATTATATGCTGGCAAGGGATGGCCTAGATGTAAACTAATAGTCCTTCTTCATCTCCACACTACAATATTCCACGAAGCATTGGTAGAATAGAACCTCAAAGTTACGAACTGATTGGTCAACCACACACCACATTTGTAACTAGAAGCACTCAATCAGGCAGCAGCAGAGAACCAAAAAAAAAAAAAAAAAAAAGGCAAATACAGCAGAGTACTGTGTTAAACATAAACTACTAAAAAAAGAAAAAAAGATTTGACAAGGTAAGAAAACGGTTTCTGTGCTTGTTTCATTTAAATTAAGATGGTTAAAAGCAGCATTTTTCTTCTGCATAGTAAAGGTTCAAAGCTGTATTAAGTCAATGTTCAGTTGTAAACTTTTGAAAGAACAATAACGTTTTGTTCAGAGTTACAAACATTAGTGTTACGAACAACCTCTATTCCTGAGGTGTTCATAACTGAGGTTATACAGTACTGTTAAAACAGAAAGTAAGAATTAAAGCCAAAGTGCTAGACTTATGTATTTTTATGAGCTGAAACAGATCCTGGACGGCTGTTTTGTCAATCAGAACCAGTTTTTAAAGTTAGCAGTAAGCAACTGCATGTATAAATCACATTTGCATGCATTGTCTATGGACCTAACTATTCACACACATGCACAAATACCTGATATGCTTATTAACTTTATATTTGCATGTGTTAGTTAGGAACAGACTGATATATGTACACAGCTACAAGCATCTATCTTCAAAAATATGTTTCCTAATGTTTGCATTTGTCTAATAGCAGACCAAGATTTTCGAACATTCTGGTGACGGGGTATCTCCACAAGACTTCCTTCTCTCAGTACCCTTCCAATGAACAGATCGCAGAACGAGTACGCCCAACCTTTTTCTTAAGTAAAAGCAGCAAATACTGGTTTTAAAATAAAGCTGACAAAACAGTAAAGTGGATTCTGGATAGTTCTCCTATAGCTGTAGTAACGAGGCTGCATGTGGTCATGATTTTATATTACTGTAGGGTAACACCTGCACTGACATTTTTGGCTTTATTTGAAAGTACTTACTTTTCTATCCTAGTGCCAGTTCCCTAACCTTATAAATCAAAAAGAAACTCTCTCTCCCTCTGAGTGCTAGGAGACCTGGGTGGAGGGAGAGAAAATTGCTTCATTTGTCTAGCAGATTTAAAGTAAGGGAAATGCATGAAAATAATCTGTTGATGCAAGAGAAGCTGCTGCTGCTAAAGGGGAGAACACAGATGTAAAAGCTTTAATAATCATCACATTTTCTTCTGTACGGAGATTCATTGGCTCTTCCACTTATTTCCTATGAAGCAAAAATCAAGTACAACAAGGGAATGAACAGTAAAATTCAACCAGGTTTTACTAGAGAGTGTCTCAAGTTCTGCTCCTAATTCTGACAGTCAGGAACCCAACAGATTATGTAGGAAATTAGGAGATAAAAAATAGCATTAAGGATGGAGCCTGCAATGTTGTAGCAAAGGTCTTATATTACACAGGCAGATGAAATAGCGTTTACCTTCTTCACCAAGGAGGAACAAATGAAGGCTCAACATTTAAACTAGCAGTTCTCAAATTGCCTGCCATGGAGATGCACTGACTTTCCTTATCTCTAACTGTTAAACTGCATTAAAAGAATCTACATACACATTATCTCGTACCATTATTTTTCAGAGGGGTAGCCATGTTAGTCTGTATCAGTTTTTAATTATTTTTCTGGGTAACTAACTGCAGCAGTTGCCACAGGGATATATGATATGATATTACGAATGAGAGGAGGCGATCCATGAGACAGGGCATGGGTGAAGAGGTGACCAGGAACTGGAAACTAGTCCCAGGAGACACTGTCAAAAGATATGGTACAACCTCTGACAAGGTTTGAGAACCCCTGACTTAAATGCAAAATAGCATTAGCAAAATCTTCAGTGTCCTCTGCTTCCATCTGGTGGCAGAACATGGTTATAAACATTAGTAGGTGTATAAATGAAAAACCTGAAATTCAGTATGCCTGGAGTAGAAGGAGAAAGATTCTGACCCAAGTCTACATTTTTGTCACAACTGTTATTGCCACCACGGGGTCAATGGTTTTCATTAAAAATAAGTCCCTCAAAATGGCAGGTTATGGCTAGGTGTATGGAAGTGTTGCTGAATAGCTAAACCAATTTCAATGAGAACGTCGAATGTTGCCAAATTAAACCCTGGGCTGCATGGGAAATAATCAAAACTAGGAGACTCAGCAATGTCACTGAAGTGACACAAAGGATCAGACCATTGTACTCTTAGTGAGAGTTTTAATTCCTTCAGGGGGTTCTTTTTCCACCAAAGGAAAAGACTAAAAAACATGAAGAGTTAACATAGGTTTACAAAGTTGAGCTCTCGTATAGCAAATAGTGTCTTAATACTGGTCTATTCTTGTGCCCCAAATAACCTTTATTTTCCCATTTTAGCTAAGAATTGTTCCTGTACTGTGATAAAAACCAGGCCCCTGGACTTTCTTCAACACCACTGTGTCATGATTCCTACCCTCTTCACCATGATTACCCTGTAACACACAATAGAGTGGCAGTGGACTCCTGCCAGATCAGAAAATTATGCCATCAAGTTTACTGTACTGCCTTTCCTACCAATAGAGATCAGATGCTTCAAAAAGCAGCAAAAATCAAATGTAGAAGAGGAAGCTAGACTATTTTGGCTGGAGGATCAGGACGTGGAATGTTTGTTCTTATAGGTTTCAGAGTAACAGCCGTGTTAGTCTGTATTTGCAAAAAGAAAAGGAGTACTTGTGGCACCTTAGAGACTAACCAATTTATTTGAGCATAAGCTTTCGTGAGCTACAGCTCACTTCAGCTGTAGCTCACGAAAGCTTATGCTCAAATAAATTGGTTAATCTCTAAGGTGCCACAAGTACTCCTTTTCTTTTTGTTTGTTCTTATAGTAATTTTCACCATATAAAACAGATGTAACATGTGAACAGCATGCTGTTCTGTAAAAATTACAAAACCTACAATAATGCAACACTTAGCCTGCAAATTTAAAAAGCAAGATAGACTGACTGGCGATGAAGATGACAAATCTGATAGCATTAATAAATTGTGTGCTACTTGAACATTTAGGAATGCAAAAATGCTATACATGAGCTATGTGAAAGAGTTAACATTGCTAGAAGGAACCTTAACTTCTCTGTATTTCCCACCTTTTAAAGTTTTCAACTGTTAATGTTACATTAATATAACTTTAATACAAAACCCATTTTATAAAAACAGACAAAACAAAAGCCATGGCTCTGACTTGTACCACATACAATATCGTAAATAAAAAGAGAATAAAAATTTCTTTACTGTGCATGTGTTAAAGTTGATTTTTAAAGGCACACAATGTTTTAAGAAATACTGCACCTCTCCCAACTATTGATTGCTACTCACAAACTTGTTTCAGATATCTGTACTTGGAACTGTGGGACTGCTATGCACGATGCACTGTTACTGCAACAGTTGGAAGAAATTCTGTTGATTTACACTAACCAGGATGATGGCTAGGATGGACACAGAGCTCCATCTCAAGTTACAACTTGAGACCACTGTAACATGCAATTGTGTGATCCTGTAGTATAGATGAAATTTCAGACTAATCTAGGTGAAAATGGCAACAGGAGTCTGTAAGGCACATTACATTAGAAACTTCTGTAGCCAAGTCAGGTGATTCAGAACTTGCCTACACCAGGAAATTTACACATTGCTGACTGTATTAGCAAAGGGTGCAGATGAACCAGTGCTGAAAATTGTTTAACTGCAATTGTAGGCAGGACCAAACCGTGTTCAGGAGCCATGACTGAACCTTAGTAAACGCCATCCCCTCATCTTTAACTACTGGACTTCTGTTTTACCCTCTTGTAAGTATCTCCAGATTTGCTGCCAGCAGTAAACTCCCTGATTAATAGGAAGTTCAATTAATCAAAAACAAACGTATCAGCTCAAGGTCTCATTAACACACTTATCCAGGTCCATTTAACACTTGATCAATTACTTCCACCTCTTTGCCTAGCAACTCACTGTGAGCTGTTTGTGAACACAACCAATTAGGTTTCAGTACCTTCGCTCTGCCCGCTCCTTCTTTTTCAAGACAACATCCAGATCTTGCAACTGTTCTTCTAACTTCTCACAGAGTAATTTCTGAGAGGATAATACACAGTATCAGTTTCTTGCGTAAGCAAATACCTTCATTAATTAGTTTATTCAGACACTTAATGCACTGTTTTCACATTTGCCTTAGTGATATCTGGAATAGGGATAAGTGTTTACATGTGGAATACTTAAAACTAAATTCCTAGTTTTCTTCGCATTTCCCTGTATATAGCCTAAGATTATGTTAATTTAACCTTTGCCAGAGACTTTAGTGGTGTAACAACACAATATTACTTCTGTTGGAATACCACCCGGCAAGAACAGGGCATGTAGTGAAGGTTCAGTCTTCTAAATTTAAGGTACACTTTAGCATAAATTTTGCTAGACAGATAAACTCTTCTGGTGAGAGGTATCTATTGTAGAAAGCAGTCTGCCCAGTGTACATATTAGTACATATTAGATGAGTGTTTAGAATAAACATACTTCTAAATGTTTCCCTTTTTTAAACTTTTAAAATCTGTATAGTTAGCAGAAAGGTAACTGGGAGGTACTTTGTATTTTATTTTATTTATATACATACATACAGTGCGTTTTAGTCCTCTTTCCCACACTTCATTTATTGTTTATCTTTAGGTTGTAAACTTTCATTATTTCATTGGAAAACACATAGCACTCAGTTTTCATCTATTGATTACTACTGTGGTGCTTTTTAAAAAAAATGTTTTGTATGGTATAAGACCCTATATCCACATCTAATATCAAGATAATGATCAAGTCATCATGTAGGTGGCTATTATTCACCTGCTTTGTAGGGATTCTAACATTATGTCTTAGGTCAGCAACTGAGTTGATCTTTGTTACAAGTAAGTGGCCCCTATGAAAAGAACTTGCTTTGCTCTCTCAACATGAGACTTGCCTTTTCCCATTACACTTGTTACATGTGCAAAAGTTCTCCCCAAAAGTGTTATTGCAATCACTGTAGAACCTTTCCCCTTTGATCACATTTAAAACTTCTCTTTCGCAGATGTGATTTGTTCTCTCCCATCCATTCCTCCTCTCCCACCATATACTTTCCATTGGACTTTTTTGTAATTTTAGGGTTTTTTTTTTCTTATTATGTACTTACTAGGAATTAGTCAACATTGCCCTTAGCACCTTGGTGAGGAGGTGCTTCATATATAATCAGGTACAAGTAGCACTTCTAACTTCATTTGTAAAGAAAAAAATCTTACACACTCAACCTATTCATTATTTAAATTAAAAAAAATACTTAAAACCACAGAAACAGGCAAATTTTGATGCACAATACAACTATACATCATCACTGATCAGGATCTCCTCTTGCACAGCAGCAGCCCTGCCTTGTGACATGCAAGTGATATAGCTGTTTTGGAAGCAAAGATGGGGTATGAGATCCACAAGGCTGCCTCTATAATGTGCCTAATTCTTCCCCAATCACTGCAGTAGGAGAAGTACTAGTCACACTACGGCCTTTAAAACTCCAGGCACCTACCTGGAGAACTCACTATTTTTGCACTTTCTATTTCACATGAAGACCAGCCATATGTTTGCACTGAAATATTTTTATAGTAGCATCCAGCCTCATTAGAGGAAGCACTGAAATTTGCCAGCCGCTAGGCAATGACAGTGCTTGTTCTCAGAAAAGACCGACTGGCATATCACAAACATGCTCCTGCTGGCTTGCTACAGGCAACTGGCTGCATGGTCCAACCAGGTTCTGAGCAAATAGGTCTGGGGAGGGAAGTGGGTTTCAACCAGAGATGCTGCTTCCTTGATTAGTGCCACACTTCCCACATTCAGTCTTTCTTACAGGAAAAATTAAGAGAATGAATATTTCCAATTCTACTGTTTCCTTGATGCAACCTCTGCAAAGGTAGGAAAGAACGGATTCTGTGAAGCAGTAGAATTGCCATCTACAATAATGAAGAAAAAAAAAAGAAAAAAGCATGAGGAAAAGGTTATCTCCACTCAGAGCTCGGTTAATAACAGAGCCGGGGGATGGTTGAGGCAATGCATCCCAAATGAGGGGTTATTTTTTAACGGAGAAAGATGGATACTAGAAACAGTTTGTTAATCAAACAATGATCCTCCACAACATCTAGCAGAGACGAAAACTAGTCAACTAGAAAGCATACATGTTGGCAAGGTGGGCAGAACCACTCTCCATCTGGGATTATCATCAATGGGGGTCGAAGGCAGGCTGTGTGATATCCACTGTCACAAGAGTCACACAACAGAATCTGTGGAAACCAAGTAACAGATTAGCATCACTTTGCACCTCTTGGCAGGTAACAAGTTCTAAAGCTATTTCCTAGGCAGTGTTGAAACATCTGCATAAATACTCTGATCTGTACAAACTTCAGAACCTCCAAAATCACTTATTTGTAGGGTTTTATGGAAAGATGAAATATGTCTTTTCATGGAACAGTTGGTGTACCAGGATGTTCAGACTTAACTCTGGATTGTTTATCATGCGTACAGACACAAACAAACCCTATCTGGATTGCCTAGAATCATAGGTGAACACACAATGTTAAAATGCATACTGATTTATCAGGATAAACCCTAGATGCCTCTTTTCCATCAAATAGGAGATGGCAAAGTTGATGTGAATTGTGTGCTCATCCACTGGAGTTTACAAATCATTCAAGGAGCTACTATAGTGGGCTCAACCATGCTGGCATGTCTGTCACATAACTAAAAGAACGCTTACTTTGTGGATTAATGGCAGGAGTGAGCATTATGATTTGCCAGATAAATATAAATGTTAAAGATGAGTAGCAAGTGTTGTTAAATCAGAACTGTAGAAATTAGAGATAGAAGACTATTCTCTATAGTGTTTTATCTAGTCCTTTGTTCAATTTAGTGGTAAGCATCTCAAGCAATGGGGTTTTCAACACTTCACTGAGCAGATAATGCCACTTCTAAAGAAACTCGAGGTCAGGAAGTCTTCCCTGATATTCAGGCTATACTTTTCTTATAAATTCTATTCCATTTAAAATATTGTAATATTCAGCATCTTATAATATTGAAAAAATAAAGGAAAACTCCAGTGATAAGTTATGATCCTTAAATAGTTAATTGACTGTATATGAACATATACTTATTCAAAATGGATCTCTAGAACAGTTTTTAGGAAACACTTGTCACATTACCTTCACAAATGAGAATGGCCTCAGATGAAGCTGCAAATGATGATACTTCTCAGCAAGCACTCTAGACAGATGATGGAGATTGAGACTACGATTGCTGCTTCCACATGGAAGAGCAAGGACTTTCAAAGCTGAACATAGCAGTGGGTTTTCTCAAATCTTACCCCTTACATTTCCTTTCCTATCCACACAAATGGGTTCTCTGTTTCTCTTAAGTCCTACCCTGCATTCTCAGATACCCCATATTGTAGCTTCCTATTTAATTCATTCTTTGTTATATGTAAGACCTAGCTTTTTGGTGAATTATTCAAGTAATCATCAGAGGATCGTATACTGCACTGGAGTTTTCTTTTACTGTTCACGCACAGTAAACCCCATGTCATTCGAGTTAAAGAAAAAGTAATGACCTCTAAAAGACACAGATTGTTGCCCATGGCTTATTTAGGGGGAAAAAAGTAATCAACCCTTATTATTCCAAAGGACATATCCAGAATATAAAACCCAATGTTTCATCACCAAACTGCCTGGAGTTTTAAATTAAGGATAAGTCATAACTGTCTTATTTAAAATTTCACATAAAAGATGTTTTTAATGTTTACATTCTGGGTCTGGTCCTTTATGGGCCTGGACTTTATTACACATTAAATGGCACCAAGCTGGATGATTTCCGAGCACTTGTTTTTTATACTGGGCTGCAAGTAGTTTTCAAACTACTTGATTGTGCACTTACTTCATAAATATCCAAACTGATTTTTAAAAACAAAGCAAGAGTGAACCAGGTGAGAAGCCTGATAGTTTCTTTTTATTCAGTTTATCGTGGAGAAAGAAAGCGTTCTAACTTCAGTCTGCAATTAAAGTGAATATTACATGCCAAAAAGCTACATTCGAGGAAAATTAAGGTTGTGAAGGCAAGCACTCAAAAGTTAAGAAACGCCAGAATTAGGGGTTGCTTACCAAACTTTAATTTGCTACTCTTGTATTTATGATAAAGTCTTTAGTTACATATTTATTTATCACAGGATCCCTGCCTCATTTCTTGCAGAAGTTGGAAGGTGTGTAGCGAATGAGGAAGGGGACTACAGGAAGAGAAAGGATGATTTCATGGTTAAGGCTATGAAGTCTGTTGTAAAAAATTGGTTTCTATCCCTGCCTCTGCCATAGAGTTCCTTTGTGATGCTCTGCAAGCCACTTCAACCTAACTTTTAACAGGCGGCCACTAACTGTGTGCTTCTCATCCTCTGCATGCCTAATTTGAGATCCTGGGTTCTGATTTGCAGATGTGCCAAGTACTCACAAAAAGAAAAGGAGTACCTGTGGCACCTTAGAGACTAACCAATTTATTTGAGCATAAGCTTTCGTGAGCTACAGCTCACTTCATCGGATGCATACTGTGGAAAATACAGAAGATGTTTGTTTTTATACACACAAATCATGAAAAAATGGGTGTTTATCACTACAAAAGGTTTTCTCTCCCCCCACCCCGCTCTCCTGCTGGTAATAGCTTATGTAAAGTGATCACTCTCCTTACAATGTGTATGATAATCAAGGTGGGCCATTTCCAGCACAAATCCAGGTTTTCTCCCCCCAAAGACACTTCCCCCCCCCCAAAAAAATCCACTCTCCTTATGCTCAAATAAATTGGTTAGTCTCTAAGGTGCCACAAGTACTCCTTTTCTTTTTTGCGAATACAGACTAACACGGCTGTTACTCTGAAACAAGTACTCACAGACACAATTGAAGTCAATGGGAGCTGTGCTTTAAACACAAAGCACCGTATAATGCTACATACTCTGAAAAATCAGGTGCTGGAAGTCTGAAATTGGAAACCCAAAATTAGTGGACACTTTCAACCTTAAATTGTCCGTGCCTTAGCTCCCCATCTATAAAATGGTGATGATAATAGCCCCTTTCCTAACAAGGTGTTCTGAAAATAAATTAACATTTGTGAAACACACAGATATAATGTAGTCTGAGTGCCATAGAAAGTCCATGAAGAAATTAATAATTCTGTTTCCTGAGCAGGGTTTAAATAGGGTACAGTAAATAAGGTCTATGGCTACATATTGAAGAATGGAGGATAAAACAAAATATTGAATAGCTGCTCATTAATTGAGCACCATCCATCCTGTACACTGAATGAGGCAAGGGGCCTGCGGAAAAATAATATGTGATCATGTAATTAAGACTCTCCCATAATGCATATATACAAAGGTGCTCATTTAAGTTTGCATGGGAACCTTAATTTTGCCTTTTCCTAACTTCTGAGTGGCTTGATTTTGCAACTTTAATGTTCGTTTAGAATAGTTTGTGTGTGTGTGTGTAATTTATTCATTTATATTACAGTAGTAGGGTTCAAAAAAGAACTAGATAAATTCATGAAGGATAGGTCCATCAATGGTTACTAGCCAGGATGGGCAGGGATGGTATCCCTAGCCTCTGTTTGCCAGAAGCTGGGAATGGGCGACAGGGAATGGATCATTTGATGATTACCTGTTCTGTTCATTCCCTCTGGGGCACCTGGCATTAGCCACTGTCAGAAGGCAGGATACTGGGCTAGATGGACCTTTGGTCTGACCCACTATGGCCGTTCTTATGTTATATTCTAGTAACCTAGAGGCCTCAACCAGGTCAGATCTTCATGGTGCTATGTACAAACATAACAGAGTATACACTATAAAAGGTAAGACATCCTAGGGGGCGAAACAAACTTGCACTTTTCCCTCTTGGTTCCAAGTAAATGGTCCCATTTCTCTGCCTGTGATGTCAAAGGGATCAAAAACATCACACAGCTTACCCAGTAAAGGAGGCCAGAGAATGATCTACTCCTGGGGGAATTCGTCACTGTGCATGCACAGAATTCAGGTCCCATGCAGGTTTTTTTTTTTCTCTGCAGAAAATACTTTCTCCCAGAGAGGTGCTGCAGTTATGCCTTTTGCCACCAGAGGCTGCTATGGCACCAGAACAGAGGGCAGATGGCTCACCAGCTGTAGCAGTCAGCAGCTGATAGGGTGGAAGAGAGGCTGCATTCCTCACAGTGCCATGCCCTGCCAGCGGGATATGGGGCCAGGAGAGGAGGCACGGGATATGGGGGGGACAGACAGAGTGGGGCACATGGTGCTCCTGGGATGGTGTCAGAGTGGGGTTCAGAAGGGCTAGTGGCTGGGGACAGACTAGGGCAGGGGCTGAATGGAAGTAGGGATGCAAGGCCAGATAGGGGTACAGGGACACATGGGGATGGCGAGGAGGTGTAGCTGAGTGGGGGTGCAGGGACATACGGGGACAGAGATAACCCATACCTGCTGATAGTGGGGGAGGGGGGGCACAACCCCAGAACAGCTCAAGTCACTCGCTCCCCAGGTAGCCCCCCCTCCAGGAAAGCAGGACCCCTCCCCACAGATTCCATCTGTTCCTCCTGCCTCTGCCTCTCCCTGTCTGGCACAGCTTGCCAGCTCAGCTGCTCCACAGGGAGGGGGCTGGCCACACCATGTGGTTGAGCAATCCCCGGGGGAGGGGGGGAGCGGAGAGGAGATATGCATGCCCCCCCCGCCATGCATCACCTCTGCATGGGGACAGGGACAGTTGTGTCTGACTGAATGAGAGAGACTAGAGGATCAGCTAGGGTCTGCATGGGGAAGGCTCCCCAACTCCATAACACTCCCCCTCTCCCCCACAACAACCCTCCAGGTTCACTCCCAGGCTCCTTTCCAGCAATTACTTCCCTCTCCTTCAGCTCCTCCATTCCCCCTGACTCCCCCAAGCCTTTGCACTACTTCTGTGGGGTGTGGGAAATATGTTTCTGTATTGTAGTTTAAATGAATTATTACTCAAAGTTCTGTATTAATATGACTACTAAGGAATCTATTTGTCAGAAAACATTTCCTGAATCTTTTTTGTCATCTGTATTGTTACAGACACACTTGTTGACAGGTATTTTGAAATAAATTACCAAAATAATTGAAACTGGCATGATTATATTGTGTTATTTTGACAAACAACATATGCAGGATTTTAAAATACTGTGTGCAGAATTTTTAGTTTTTTGGCGCAGAATTGCTCCAAGAATAATGATGACTCATATAACCTCCCTTTTCCCAGCTTGAGACTCAGAACTGGTAGGAGGAAAGGAGAGAGAGAAAATGTTGGGGAAGGCTGAAGAGATCAAGCTGGATTCTGAACCCTGCCTCCTCCTCCTACTCAGGCCACCATTATGTCAGTCAGCAAGATCCAGACTGGAAAGCAGACAGGACAAGTGATGTGAGTGGGGCCATGCTGGAAGCAGATTTCATCTTAGCTTCAAGCCATCAAGGCATACCCACAGCATTAAAAGCCTGTTTGTATTAAGATGAATAGCGGACATATTGCAGCCTCATCCATGTCCCCTTACTGTTAATACCTATTAAACCTGCCGTATCACTTTTCCCAGGGAGGGATTGTTTATTGTAAAATACTATTACACATCTCTCAGAAGAAAGCTCTCTCATGGCAGAAATAACTATGTTTTACACATTACTAGTCTAAAAACCCATCGCTTTCAGGGTGATTAATGGAAGTTTTTTCCCCCATCACGCTATTTTGTAGATCAAGAACATACTAGCTCAGGGTGATTGGGAAGGCCACACTTCTTGCATGGTTCATCATCATCAGCAGGTGCAGGTTCCTCTTCTTCCTCTTCCCCCTCAGATTCCTCCTCAGAGTTTTCTTCGGTCTCAGACTCCTCGCTCTCTTCATTACTTGAATATCTCCACCTGCCACGTGTTCGAGTACCTGTCCACCGCACTTTGTTTCTCTGTGTGGCCTAGTGTTCCAAAGATAAAACACAGCAAAAGGCACTTACATTGCCTCGTCATTTACACCAGGGGTTTTCTAAGTTAAAAAGACTATCGCGTTTACGTTTGAGTAAATGTTCTCTAAAATGAATGGATTCATTTCAATCAGAATAGCTAGAGGAAAACATAGCATGATACAGCAGCTTCAATGAGTAGATCTTTCATTGAGTCCAAAAATCCTCACAGAACTCATTAAAACTAAAGGAAAAAAGAAATTAAAGGGTATAGGCAAAGAAAATGCTTCAGATGAGGTTTAAAAGATGTGAGGACAAAGCCTTAGAATGTGACTCCACCCCTTTGTTGAGCTATCAAAATCTAAAATTTCTACTCTGACAAGGTAATTTTGCATAGTGAACATGAGAATTTTGACATGTAAACTTTTCCCCTCCAGAGTACAATAAAACCTTATTTTGAAGCTGCCTTTCCTCAATCCAAAGAGAATATATTTCTAACATTGCTTGCTTTTTGAGAAACAAATTACAGAATGTGACTTATTTTACTTTTAGAATCATCATATTGTAAGAGATAAATTGCTGTCATCAATACGTGTGGTCTCTGCCTGTGGGGTTGGAGGAGGAAGATGTTTGAGAGGATTGTGTGCATGTGTGTGTTTTATACAAAGAGGCCAGGCCCAAAAGTCTCTATTATATTAATTTTTGTATCTCACTACACATATTTAGATCACTAAGTCTTTCAAAAGCTATGTCCATGTAAGACCATACTTGTATCAATTTTAACATAGTTACTTGTAGCACCTATTACCAGAACTGAAAGATGAAAAAAATCTCAGTACTTTTGCAGTTTATGTAAGGCAATTGACAGCATTTACTATATAACAGTTTCACTTTGTCCCCTATAAGGTCAATTTCTCATTTTGTTTGTGAAGGTTATTCACACCGCAACAGAAGAGAGAAAACTTTTTTTAAACCGAGGAAAAGGTGTTTGTAGAACTACAAAAGCTAGTACGGAGATTCAGAACAGGAATAGCGCCTGAAAAAAACCTAGTTATTCATTTTTTAAATTAACCAGATTTCAAGCTGACACTGTTCTTTTAACAAGGGCACTTTTAAAAAGAAAAATATTGCCTCTATCTTCCTGTTTTTTAAATTTATTTTAATTAGCTTTTCAGGAAGACATACAGGTCAAACAAAGAGAACACAAAGTCACAGCAGGGCTAATAGCAGGATGTATGTGCCTTCTACCTGCAAGCTCACTATCATTTCTACTCTATAAACTTTAAAACTGTGCCTGAAAGACAAATTTATCATGCAAAACACACTTTCTGAACCCAAAATAAAACCTACATAAGAGATTCCCTCATAATCCCTCTAAAAGTGGTTCAGCTACTCTCAAGAACAAAACTCCTGTTAAATTCTATATAGCATTACTACTTTACACTAACATTTTCCCTGTTCCCATCTATCCACCATCATCATCAAATTGACCAAGCATCAACATATACATCACACAGTCAATCTTTGCACTCTCCTGGGGGCTGTTTTCAGATCAGTCACTGCCCTAACCAAGTTACTGGACTAGTAACATGCATAAATTGACCATAATGGCATGCTTCTCAACATTCCTCCACAAATGTGTTTTCCTTAGATCGAAAACCACCATCTCCTCCTTAGATCGAAAACCACCATCTCCTCCTGTTACCTTGCTCACTTTAGAATTGGACTCCTTCTCTTGTTTTTTCACATCCTCTCTTCGGTCTTGCTTTTGCAGCACTGCCAGTTTCTCCTCTTCCTCTTCACCTCGTTTTTTGTCAGGTTTCTGATCTCGAGTCTCCACCACTTTTGGAGTAGGTTTAGATATTCTTGGAGACCTCCTTAAAGTGCGACCAACACTGACTTCCTCCTCTTCCTTCTGCTCAGTGTCCTGAGTCTTCGGAGGTGGATCAGGCTTTTTCTTTCTACTGGAGATCCTGATGGTTAACTTGATCCCTTCCTTTTGCCTCTCGGAGGTTATTTCCTTGTTATCTGTTACACAGATGTTCTCTTCAGAAACCAGTTTATATTTAAATTTGCTTTTTTGTACTGCAGATTCCGTTTTAGTCTCTGAAGACTCCTCTACACTAGAGGTTTGGGCATTATCTTGTTTATCTGGTTCTGTCCGGGCAGCTTCAAATTCCTCCTTCTGTTTTTTTAAGTCTGATCCTTCCTGTACTTTGCTTTCATCAGCAAGTATGTTTTTGGAATCTGAGCCCTCTTTTTCTGAAGCAGATTTCTCAGAAGGAACAGGAGGAATAGACGATGGAGGTGTTTCAGCGGCTTTTGGAGAGTCAGATTTCTTCTCCAGTTCAATTTTACTTTTCAAACATTCTTCATCTGTTAGACCAAGCTTGGGTGGCTCCTTAGGAGTGGATGTCTTCATGGACTTTTCCAGCTTTTCTAAACATTCTTTGAGTGGTGGTCGTCTGTCCTTCCTAGTTTTCAAAGCTAATTTCTCTTCAGGTTTCTTGGGGCAGTATCCTGTTTTCCAAGAGTCCTCCATTGCCATCTCAGAAGTCATACTGTCAAGGGACTCTTTTTCTATAGGACTAGATTCCTCCTTTAAAGGCACTTTCTGATTAGAAACCTCAGAGACCATAGCAGCTACCTCTTTGTCTGTAGGCACATTTTTCTCATCTTCACATGTTCTCACAATTTTGCTAACAGAGTTTAAAGAGTCTGATATTTTCCCCCCACTTATGCAATTTTTCTCCTTCGATGAGCTGCTGCTGTCTTCCTTTGTGCTAATGGAATGTTCTGACTTATTATTTTGGGTGACATTTTGGGTAACTTTTTCACCACTAACCTCTCCATTTACTAGCAATTTCCCATCAGGACATAAAGCAGTGATTGTAGGGACTCGTCTAAAACCCTCCTCCTCTGGTTTTCCTTCCTCTTTCAAGACATCCTTTGTTGGAGTAACACATTTACACAAGGACCCCTTTACTGGACTGTCATAGTCATCTGTTAGCTTGATCTCTCGCTTTTTCAGTGGTATCTTTGCCTGCTGGTCATTTTTAAGTTTCTCACTTTCTTCTGCAGATTTCTCCACAACTTCTTGAGGGGTTTTGACATTGACAGAAAACTCTAATCTCTCAGGCTCATGAACTGTTATTTTATCTGTGCTGCTTTTTACTTCTTTTAAATCTTTTGGTTCTACTTTATTTTCCTTCACTTCTGCTTTAACAGGCTTGACATTTTCTTTAAAAGAATCACTTTCTTCTTTGGTAATCTGCTTTTCCTCATTGTTTTCTGAAGGCTTCTCTAGCTTTACTATGACTGGCAGTTTTATAATTTCCTTTTCTTCCACTTTCTCCTTTTTCATCATGTTTTCATCTGCTGGGACTGTAGGTGGAGGAAGGCTTTCCAATTCCTTTGACTGTACTTCCACTGTCTCCTTTTCTTCTTTTATTTTTAATTCATTTCCTGTTAAAATAGAAACAAAACAACATAACATAACCAGATGAATTCTAGGATAAAAAAAATAAAGCTAAACAATGCATCCTACAACAATCAAAATGAATCCTCTCTAATGAAATTAAGGGTTTGGCCTAACACTGGCATTTGCCACCTGATTGACAAATACTAGCTAAAGAATAGGACAGAACGGCAGTTCAGTTTAACTAAAAACCAGAGATAATTCTAAACTTGACAGAAAATATCAGCAGAGCCCCAGATCTATCTTTTCTATGCTGACCTTTTAGCTCCCTAATCAATTTTAGTACAGTTTTTCTAAAAGTATGTGTACATAAAATTTAAGAACGAGGTCTGCAAACACTAGTTTTTAAAAGAAGTCTGACTTAACAGTTTGAATTATTTCACTATAACAAAATATTTTACAGAATTCCTTATACTAGAATTTCAAGTGATGTGTCCACATCCAAACCACACTCTTGTTTATACACACTGATATTTTCAGAAGGGTTTACTTATTATTTTTTTCTGTTTCAGAGGGAAGAGGAGAAGCTGCAATACTATGTCCTGAACCAAAATTCACCCAGATTTGTTGCACTCTAGTGGGGCCACGGTCCATGACTGGGTCTCCTACGTGCTACCACAATACAAATAATAAATAACATTCTGCATTCATTTCACACGCAAAAGTCCCGTTGACTTCAACAGGACCAACACATACAAAATAAGTGCAGAGTACAAGTACGTCAGAGAAAACTGCAGGGAGCAGATCTACCCAGAGTTAGATGGTATGGTCTTTGCACAGAAGTTGAGGTATATCACATACCTACTGGAAATTGTAAGTCAACAAAAAATGAGATGTAATAGCACTGCATATTCTGCACTGTGATCTTCCCACACTTGAAAGGCTCTTCCTATTCCAAAAGGCAGTAAATCCCAGCACCAAGTTATTCCTTTCCCCTGCACTAATGTAAGCCCTTTCCCAGATGAAAGCTGGTTTAGTTCTAAATGAAGAGGGGGGATCCAAAAGCTAGCTTAACTCACATTCAAACAGGAAACTGTATAGAAGGATAAAATAAAATGGTGAGGAGAAACTCACGGGACGTTGAAAGAAAAAACAAAAACAAAACCAAGTTAGTTCATTTCAGAAGTCAGAGAGAAGTCAACTCCCCACAAATGCAAAACCAAAGACAATATTTCAAAGGGTCCAGTCCCATATTTTCCTTCTTCCGTAGGTGATTTACACTCTGCTTTCCCCTGTAACTTCTCAATGCTGCAAGTGGCTTTCTTGAAGGCAGTGCTTACCTGAGATAAGAGTAGGATGCATTTTCTGTGTCTACTCTTTTTCCGCTTCCTCTTCCCTTGTCTCTGACCTCGTTCTTTCACAACCCTTTTCCCTTAGCTATGACTCTCCCTCAGCTATGCCTGTCCCTCAAGTTTCTAGCATTAGAGGGCAGCAGCCATTCTAATTCTTGTCTATGCTAGACAAATTCTCCATTCTCAGAACCAATTTAGTTCCCTACATCAAAGCATTCACATCCACTCACAAAGAGGATGTTAGCTGTTTACAAGTTCTCAAAACAGCATTTGAGTTGAGTAGACGTTCAACAGATTTAAGAACTGGTTCAGTTTAAACTGTTTTAGTATGGAATAATTTAGTGCCGGTGTAGATGTGGACAAACAGTACATTTGGGGGTAGGGTGTTATTTCAAGATCTCCCAGAACGTACTGTTTCTGAAAGCAGTGCTTGGATTGTGCGATAGGTATCAGAGGGCAGTGCAATTGGAATGGTTTTAAGTGCTGAACTGTTTGTACTTAAATCAGCTACAAGTAATTCCATTGTCTGGTATAGACACAACCCCATTGTCTAGCACTAGAAATTCTACAAGCAATACATATCAGATGCTAGCCTAACATGAGTAGTGACATTAGCTAACTTTGATGGATTGGTGTACCATGCGGTCTTGGGGCTTGTCTAGACTGGAGAACTGTTTTAAAAGGTTTTAAAACTGGTTCAGCTAAATAGCCCTGAGTTTAGGTAGCTTAAACTGGTCTGACCAGTTTTTACTGAACCAATGCTTGAAATTAACTCTGTAGTATCAATGATAGGGGAGATTTTATCATCTCTTATTTGCAATGTAATTGCAACTTTAGCCATTGTAAAATATCTTAGTTATATTAAACTTAACAACCAATACAGATCACACTCTGTATTAATTATTGATATCAGCAATGATACAATTGTACAATAAGATTTCTTAACTTTTTCTACAGCACCTCACAATATAGTATCATTGTATTAATTGCTTCTTCCCTTTACCAGTTCTTTGGAAGAACATGCATAGAATGTCAATGAAACAGCAACGCTTCCCCTTGTAGGCCAGAACTCTAGGCCAAATTCTGCCCATAGTTACACCTATAACACCCACTATCTTTAATACTATTGGCATGGGTGTAACTGAGGGCACAATGTGAGCCTGAAAGCCTGTCCCCGTTGTGGAAACTTCCCAAAAAAATGCAAACCAATTTTAATATCAGATTCCCCAGGGGAGATAGGCCTTTAATTGCTTTGAACCTGAAAAATTAGGTCTTTTACTACAAGGAGAAGCATTTAACATTAACTGATTCCTAATAAAAAACCAACACATCAAATAAGTTAGGCAACATATCAGAAATATGCAGTGACAAAGCAGTAAGGAACGAAGTAATGTTTCTTCACTGGTGAGAAAAATAAAATGTGCACAGTTAAGGGCTTTTTATCAGACAAAACTCATCACAGATCTTCACTGGGATTAAGCTACTTCACAGTACTGTACCTAAATCCAACAATTTAAACTATCTTGAACTGATGTGTTGCTCTTGATTTTAAAGAATAGATTACTAAAGTGAAGAAAAATCCATATTTTGTGATACAAAGCTAAAGACAATGTCAACACAACTATGGGTGTGGTGTTTGACATCAATTATGCCACTCCACAAATTTGGGGGGTGGAAGGAGTTTCATATCCATTAGAAACGTGAAGCTGGGTTGAAACCTAATGCATGACAAATGAAAGAAAGATAATGGATAGAAAAGCAAATGTCAGGTGTCAGTGGTGTTACACAAAATACCACAAAAACAAAGTTAAGTTTTTTAAAAGAATGGAAAGTTGTAGATGTAATTTGTTGGGTGGTTTTTTTTGTTTTTTTTAAAAGTAAACTGAGTACACACCCAAATTATTTTGAATTTTAAGATGTGTGAAAAGGTTTAAAATGTATCCTAGATACATGGATTACAGATTTTTAGCTCAGAGAATAATAATAAAAAACCAGGCCTATTCTAATGGTAAAAAGAGGATAGAAAACCTGGTGGAGATATTTCTTCCTCCTTTTTGCTATCTTCATCTTCTATGCTAGGGCTTTCACGTGATGAGCTGTCCTGCTGGTTGTTCTTTTTCAACAGTGCAGGATCGATTTGTGCTTTCAAAAGTTCAAGCGTCTCAGCTAGCTCATTTCGGTTTCTGGATGACAAAGGAAAGAAATAAGTTATTTGATAAAGCTCTTTACTGGCTCTCCCCAAAGCCATCCATCTAAAACAAAACACACCACCTGCTTAAATGAATGCTGCATTACAAACTACAAGACCAGCGGATCGGCTTTGTCCAATCAGAATAGCCATCATTTTGTGATTAAACGACTTGCCATTTTATCTATAGTAAAACTAAAACTACCTTGCTGACCCTTCCAGACATCCTGCTTTGGATCTAAGCTTATATTGTTTATTAGTTTTGTAATTATTAACCTATCATCATCAATGCCCATTTTTTCTGTTTTCCTTCAGCAATTATCAGATTCCCTCACTGAAAGGGGTAGCACTCATGTAGTGCAGTACTCATGAAACAGAAGAGCAATTATATCATTTAAAAGTGGATTTTCAAAAAGCACTGAAGTACTTTCAAAAATCCCACCCTAAACAATACACAGAAGGCTAGAAAAACTTGAACATTTAAAATTAGTTACTATACTGATGTAGAGATTATGGGGGGAAATTAATGCTCAAGCAAGTAAAATAAAGTTACCAATTTAAACGTTTAAGTAAGGAAGTAGAGAGCAGTAACAGACAATCTGTTTTGAGAGCTGGTTAAACGGATGCAATGCTGCACTACAGGACTAGAAGTCAGGGCTCTCATATTTATGCTCTCAAGTAAATACCTAGCAAGTTGTTTTGGATAGGAATTTCGGTTTTACATACACAGAAAACCAAAGCCTTGAAGCATGCGCAAGTTTAGCATGGGGAGTTTGGTGGTTTTAAAACCACTTCAGATCTCAGAGACAATTACCGTGTTTTACCAGCGGGAGATACATGGTGCCAGGGCTCCCTCAGCATAAGACTATCCTATTTTGATTTTTGGCCTGTCTTTTACCTGGCAGTCCCCAGGTGCATGATGCAAGGCGAGCATAGTTTACCTTTTGGCTGATTTGGTTTGTTGTGTTTACTTTATTCACACACAGCAGCTACTAAAATCTCCTTAGTGGTAACACTGGTCATGTTATGTAACCCATTGAGAATTGACTTTACAGTTTAAACTTTTTGTTCAATAACCCTAATTGCTAAAGCTATAGCTATATACACACACATCATTTAAATTACAGACAGTATTTGGCATTTATGAGATCTCTTTCACCATATTTGTTTACCATTTTACTCAATGCCGATTCTCTTTTGATCAGAGTCCAGCTTTAAACACATTTGGAATTGACTAGATTTTTTTTTAAATAAAGATTTTACATGAGAATATATTAAAAATCAGTCATTTGAAAATTTTAAATAAATAAATTCAAAATTAAAAGACTCTTCCATGGAGAATATGCCACAGTACACAAGGTACATGTTAGAAAATGAAATATTTACATAGTACAAAGACACTTTCTTTCATTTTAATAAGAATGATGAAAGGAATTTGAGTCCAGAAGATCATGAAAAGGTCACCAGGCTAAACTGCTGGAGCTCACTGAGACTCAGAGGAGCAGTGAGCCCCTGCATTTCAGCAGTTACTAGTAGACTGTTAATCATTAGTCATCCAGGATCTGAGTTCGACTTCAGAAGGTTTTTGTGTTTGGCTTCCTGTACTAGATTAAGGAATTATTTTTCATTGTATGAGCCTAGAACTCAACCCTGCAATTCTAATGAGAGCATAATGTTGTCTATTACTAATTTGTGACCGATAGCATGAGAGGTTAGAGAATTAACACAGTCTTCTTCCATGTTCCCGATAGCACATTGTCAGCACGTAGTGGAACCATTCTCCAGGGGGCACAATTCTCCTCCTGATCTTACTGCCCTATAACCATTGTGCTCTTGAAACTCTAGATGGTGTTTCTCTTATAAACCATAAAATGACATCTGCATTGGCTATTATCCCATAAACAAGCTGCTTTTCTTCATAAATTGTAGTTGTGCACGTACTGTGTACGTCTGAAGGTAGAGAATTAAATTGACAGGAATACTGCTCTCTGAAAAGAGGATACTTATTGAAGTCAACATCTGAACTTCATAGTCACAGATAATCACATTTAAAATTTGCAGTTACAAACAAGAAAAAAAAAGTTACCTGACAATGCATTTCCAAGAAGACCCATCCTGGTCATCCTGTTCTTCTACATACATTCTCACATTATGTTCTTGATCCAGCTGGTACCAATACATTAAACCATCCTTGTCTCGACCAATTGGCTGGAGACGCATAGCATCAGCATCCTCTTCATTAATGATATTCTTAAATTTTAGATTGTCATCAAACTGACACTCACAGAGGTACTGAAAAAAATCGCAATGTAGAAAGATTTTTTTAGAACACCAAGATACTACCAAAAAAACTTATTTATTTGGTTCTCTTTTTATACTTGCCTTTATTAGTTTTGTGACTTAACTAGAGAAAGGGGGATACAATGCATAGGCCTCTCCAGATTATACTCTTTTGGTAAATCAGAGATTAGTTTTTAATTTCTTGTTAGTGGCCATTTAGAATGGCATTAAACCTGTTCAACAGCAAACTTTAAACAGCGGAGAATGAAGGCATCCTTACTGTACAGTAGAACCTCAGAGTTACGAACACCTCGGGAATGGAGGTTGTTCGTAACTCTGAACAAAATGTTATTGTTTTTCTTTCAAAAGTTTGCAATTGAACATTGTCTTAATACAGCTTTGAAACTTTACTATGCAGAAGAAAAATGCTGCTTTCCAGGTTTGTTTGTTTTTTTGTAGTTTACATTTAACACAGTACTGTACTGTGTTTGCTTTCTTTCTTTTTTGTCTCTGCTGCTGTCTGATTGTGTACTTCCAGTTCCAAATGAGGTGTGGGGTTAACTGGTCAGCTCATAACTGCGGTTTGCAAGGCTGAGGTTCTACTATAGTAAACATTAACAGCTACTACAGCAGGATGAAATCAAGCCACCACCAAACCATACATACACAGCGTGGTGTTTCTATTTCCTCTTTTAAAAGTAGCCATTGAAACTCTAACCTCTGTATTTTATATAGATCTGAAAGCAATGTATATGGAAGTTTCTTTTTTGTGAATGACCTAGCTAAACAGTGGATATTATTTATTTAGTATATTAGTCTACAGTAAAACTCCATGTAATTTAAGCCAGCACACATGAGGCTCATTACTCCCGACTTTTCTCATGATCTGAAAAGCTGAAGATAAGATAAAATTGCTTCATTACTAGCTCGTGCACATAACAAAAAAGAATACCGCATGGGTAAACACCCTCCAAGGGCAGAACAGTAACTACAAATATGTTTCAGTGCGAACAAGTAAAGTATGAAAACAAACAGAAAACACCGTATTTAGTTGAGGCTTATCCCCATTAACAAGACCATCAGCAACTATGACTGGTGATAGTTATTTGTTACATGCTCTGACGTCAGCTCCAAATTTAATACATTTAATTACTGCAACGTATAAGTTTTCAAAGGGTCATTTAAAAAAAAATAGTAAATGCATTACCTTCAGAATTCCCAATTTGCATTCAACACTTGTTTCCAGGTAGCCTTTCTTCTCCATCTCCCACGCCCAAGTACTGTTGAACTCTTGGCATATCTGTCAGATAAACAAAATATTAAATTAACTAGTATTAGTGGATTAATGTCACTTGAAAACTCTACAGAGGAAGAGTATTTTGTTGCAATACCAATGTTTACTTTTATCTACAAACATTGTAACTTCTGTAAGCAAAAAAGCCATAGACAAAAACCAGAGATAAAGCCAGGTGTAGGAAGGCAAGCACTGGGCATGTCTCCACTAAGTCCTGAAAGACCATATCACCAGGATCTGGACTATCATCACCTCCATTTTCCTAGCTCTGAGCAACTCTTAAGAGACAGCATGATCTACAGCTAGGGCACTAGACTGGGAGTCAGGAGACCCAGTTCTATTCCTAACTCTGTCATTGACTTGCTATGTGACCTTGGACAAGTTACTTCACCTCTGTGCATCCATTTCTTTTCCCATCTCCCTTTGTCTGTCATGTCTATTTAGACTACAAGTACGATGGAGCAGAGACTGCTTCATACATATCTGTACAGCACTAAACAGGGTATGTCTCACTGTGTTTTAAAACCCATGGCAGCAAGTCTCAGAGCCTGGGTCTACAGACTTGGGCTTGTGGGGCTCATGCTAGAGGGCCAAAAACAGCAGTGTAAACATTGTGGCTTGTAATGTAGTGTGGGTTCTGAAGCAACGTCTTTTAGCTGTTTTTAGCCCCGTAGCATGAGCCTGTATCTGCAGACCCAGGCTCTGAGACTTGCTGCAGTGGGTTTTATAATGCAACGTAGACGTACCCACAACGGGAATCCCAGTCTCAGTTGTGGCCTCTAGGCACTGCTACTGTAATACAAATAGTAAGTGAGACTACCATTCATTTGATGTTGTAAAATGATGTAATTACATATAAAATGCTGAGGTCCTCAGAGCACATACCTCAAACCATTTAAAATGTGTTTGAAAACATAATAAAAAGACCTTCTTTAAAAATATAAACAACTAACACTGACTAAATGGACCACTGAAAGTGGGTGGTGGTGGAGAACGAATATATGGGATCAACAGTGGAAAAACAGGGTTGGGATAATAAGTTTTAGATTTTTTTTTAAGTGAGAGGGTCAAAATAATTGTCATGAGGGAGCAAGTTTCACATCCTAGGACCCATAATAGCAAAGGCACTAGTGGCCGCTTACTTATTTAAGATACAAATAGTGGGATCCCTAGTAGGTATGCGGTATCTTAGTGCAAGTATCCACTACAACAAAGTTCAAGGTAGTCTCAAATATACCCAGAGACTACAATGTTAAGGACGGTCGTTTTAAAAGTGGCACTGTTGTACCATGGATGCTTAAATCAGTGGCTCAAAGTGCTGCTGCATCCTGAACAAATTGCAATCAACAGAAGTTCTCTTGAAAGCATTAAGGGAATTATCAATCTTCCTGATCAAGATGTTATTGTTAAATAGAGGATGCACCCAGGGCAAAGTAAGCTTCTAAACCACATCCAGCATGTAGCTTTCGATAGAGCAGCACAGCTGAAAGTGAGCCCAAACTTCACTAGCTAACGCTGAATGAGTTGCTTCAGAAAGTGGTAACAAAAAAAAAGTACCATCTCATAAAAATGACTTCTGCTCAGCAGCAAGTTTGCCTGTTTTGAGGACAAGCTATGTTGTCCATTCTTCCAATGCACAGGCCAAAACTTAGAACAAGAGATACAACTGTTTATTGCCAACAAATGAATACATTCTACTTTATCTCTTGTATTCAACATTCTAAACATGAAGATCATTGGGGGATGCTGCATATCACAAACATTGGAGAAGACACATCAAACATCCATGACCAACTCCTATGTTTTATGTATCACTCAAACCAATGGAGGGAAGTTTCAGAAACACTGGAAATGCCTTTTAATTGCCCAAGCAACTACTCAGTGGCATCAGAGCTGTTGAAACCATTTTTCATGAACACAATGACCAAGTTTCCATAAACTAAAACCAGCAGATTATTCTTACTCCTGATAAATGCAGTCTCAACTCCAAAGAAATCTCGAACCCAGTCTGAAGCCTTCCACAGAGGTCATGGGTTTAAGCACATCTGGTATGCTAGAACCACTGCCTTTTCAAAAGGAGAGTTTGAAACTGGCAGGCACTTCAGCAACAGGAGTTGGTTTCTTAAGGAAGCAGCTGATTTCTGCGCATGAAAGTATGACCATACCCTACCAATCTGTAAAGCGGGTGCTGATATGGGTCTCTCCAAAATACTTCTTAAGGCCCTTACACTGGCATCTAAGTGCTACTTACTGGCACCATGCTCAAATTGCTTGCTTTAAGCAATAAACATAGGAAGGAATCAAACACACAGCTGGTGAGAGTCTCAGAGGACCACAGACATCTGGATCCCAAACCAGCACTGGTGGAAGCAGCCTACTGGAAACCTGTAGATTTCACAGTGAAAGGGTCCAGAGAGACTACAGATGAGTCGCATCATATGCGCATTTAATTTACGCGAATTCAACTATACGCGCTCGGCAAAAAAAAAAAACAAAAACAACAAGATACCTGTAAATAGTGCGGGCGATTCCGCCCACCATTCCACTCAATGAGCGTATGCCCCGGAGTGAGCATGAGATGGGAGACGTGCATCTGCTGTTCCCTCAGACGGTCTCCGTTCCCACGTGCCTCTCATAGTGTGAGCATCTCGTCGCACTGAGTGTGATTCTAGTGTTTTAAAGATACTGTACGTATTTTTCGTACAACATGGCCCCGAAACGAAAGCCAACTACTTCCTCTGGTGCTCAACCAAAGAGACAGCAATCTGTTCCAATGCTGGAGGAAAAACAGGCTGTGTTGGACTTACTGAGAGACGATATGTCTGTCTCCAATGTGGCGCGTAAATATGGCCGCAATGAATCTAGCATCCGTGCCATCAAGATTCGAGAGAGAGAAATTCATCAAGCCGTGGCATCAAGTGCTCCAGTAACTGCTAAGGTGATGAGACAGGTGCGTGATAAGACTTTAGTGAAGACTGAAAAGGCATTAAACTTATGGCTGGAAGACATGAACCGTAAACGTGTGCCTATTGATGGCAACACATGCGAGAAAAGGCTCTTAGCCTCTATGCGCTGTTCAAACCTCCCGCCGAAGAGGGACAGCCTTCTGATGAGAAGGAATTCAAAGCCAGCCAAGGCTGGCTTAACAGTTTTAGGAACCGCTTCAACCTCAAAAACGTGCAGACTACTGGTGAAACTGCATCTGCCAATGAAGAGGCAGTAAAAGCCTACCCCAAACAATTAAAGAAAATCATAGAAGAAAAGGGCTATCTTCCGGAGCAAGTTTTTAATGCTGACAAGAGTGGGCTCTTCTGGAAAAAAATGCCCATCTGCACTTTCACTTCAAAATCAGAAAGACAAGCCCCTGGCGCCAAAGCAGCTAAAGACCGTGTGACTGTGCTGTTTTGTGGCAATGCGGCTGGGCATTTAATAAAGCTGGCCTTGCTCTACAGGGCTGCAAATACCCGTGCCTTAAAAGGCAAGAACAAAAATTTCCTGCCTGTGTTCTGGCAATCAAATAAAAAGGCTTGGGTGACGGCAGCATTATTTATGGATTGGTTCCACAAGCGTTTCATTCCGGAGGTCAAGGTGTACCTAGAAGAGAAAGGACTTGACTTTAAAGTGTTGCTGATTGTAGACAATGCTCCTCGCCACCCTGTGGCACTCTGGTTTGCGCATAAGGACTTTGAAGTAGTCTTTCTCCCCCCCCAATACCACCTCATCCTCCAACCTCTCAACAAGGCATGATTCGCTGTTTCAAGGCCACGTACACGAGGCTTACATTCTCACGGATACGTAGCGCTATGGATGCTGATTTCAATCTTAATGTGATGGAGTGTTGGAAGTCCTTCAACATTGCCGATTGCATCACTTATATTAAACAGGCAAGGGATGCAATCAAGCCTGAAACAGTCAATGCACGTTGGAAAAACCTATGGAAAGAATGTGTGAATGACTTTAAGCGTTTCCCGACAATTGACAAAGAAATGAAACACATTGTTCAGGTGGCCAGGCAAGTGGGTAGTGATGGCTTCGTCGACATCCTTGAGGAAGAAATTGAAGAATTAATTGAGAGCCATAGAGAAACACTGACTAACGAAGAGTCAGAGGAACTGATAAAATTGTCTACAGAAGACGAGGATGACGACGACGAACAGGACAAGCCAGAAAGTTGGAATCTTCATAAATTTGCTGAAGTGTTCTAAGCTGCGAAAAACTTGAATGATTTAATTTCTGAATACGATCCCTCTATGGAAGGAAGCCTCAAAAAAAAAAAAATCACACGTAGTATTACGGACAATTTGAGACCATATCAAGAAATGTTTGAGCAGCTCAAGAGACAACAGCGACAGTTACCGACCACCATGTTTTTCAAGGAAAAACAACCAGCAGCAGATGAGCCTACGCAATCAACTTCTCGAACTGAACCAGAGCCAACCACTTCGTCTACGAATTGCTCTCCATCACCCAAGCTCTCCGTCACCTCCGTCTCCTGAATCGACATCAAGGCCTGACGACCCCCTGTAATTACCCCCCTGTAATTAAAAATACAGTACTGTAAAATTACATTTTTCATATGTACTCTTTATTATATACTGTACATTACTGTAAACATTATACATTTTACTGTACAGGGTTGTATACACAAAACCATGTACAGTATACTGTATTTTATGGGCAATTTAAGGGATTTTCAAGAGTAATTTTGACTATACGTGAATTTTCACCTTACGCACTGACTTTAGAACCTAACCGCCGCGTAAGATGCGACTCCACAGTAGTCCAAAGCCAATAAATCTTAACTGCATAAGAATGTAAAAAACTTTTGAGAGTGATCAAATGAAGGAAGTACTCATGGGACAAAACAGTCTGCATTAATCAGACTGTGCACTTCCCAAAAGGGCTAAGCAGTCTATATCGGAGGACAAACAATGTGTCTTTGCCTAAGCCAGAACCTTCTGTATGACCACATGAGAGCCCTGCATAGACAACACCAATGAGACTGCAGAAGCACACCAAGTATCTTCTCTTCAGTAAGTGTCCCAATTACTTCCATTTGAACAGATCACTGTTAGCAAGGGGGACAGAAAAGAATCACCCATCTGCCATTCAGTAATTTGTGGTCTACGTGTAAAGTGTTATATATTAAAAATTTCAGCAAAATTGAAAAATAAAGCACTGCTAATAGTTACAGCCACTTTAAAGTTGCAATGCAGGCTTAAAAAGCAGGCCTTATGACTGGACGCTGTGCCTGGTGTTGCAATGCAAGCTCTGTTCTCCTCCTGACTTAATTACTGTTGCTTGTTACAGGAATCCAGAAGTGTAAAAGTGAACAAAGCAGGATTGTCTGGCTTTGTGGACTCTCTCCTCAGGCCCTATGTTACCAGCATGCCCAGCTATCTTCGAGACACCACTGACTTCCTGAGGAAACTACAATCCATTGGTGATCTTCCAGAAAACACAATCCTAGCCACTATGGATGTAGAAGCTCTCTACACAAACATTCCACACAAAGATGGACTACAAGCCGTCAAGAACACTATCCCCGATAATGTCACGGCTAACCTGCTGGCTGAACTTTGTGACTTTGTCCTCACCCACAGCTATTTCAGATTTGGGGACGATTTATACCTTCAAGTCAGCAGCACTGCTATGGGTACCTGCATGGCCCCACAGTATGCCAACATTTTTATGTCTGACTTAGAACAGCACTTCCTCAGCTCCTGTCCCCTAGCACTGCTATTCTACTTGAGCTACATTGATGACATCATTATCTGGACCCATGGGAAGGAGGCCCTTGACAAATTCCACCAGGATTTCAACAATTTCTACCTCACCATCAACCTCAGCCTGGACCAGTCCACACAAGAGATCCACTTCCTGGACACTACAGTGCAAATAAGTGATGGTCACATAACCACCACCCTATACCAGAAACCTACTGACCACTAAACTTACCTACATGCCTCCAGCTTTCATCCAGACCACATCACACGATCCACTGTCTACAGCCAAGCCCTCAGACACAACTGGATTTGCTCCAATCCCTCAGACAGAGACCAACACCTACAGGATCTCTATCAAGCATTCATAAAACTACAGTACCCACCTAGGGAAGTGAAGAAACAGATTTACAGAGCCAGAAGGGTACCCAGAAGTCACCTACTACAGGACAGGCCCAACAAAGGAAGTAACAGAACGCCACTACCATCACCTACAGCCCCCAACTAAAACCTCTCCAGCACAACATCAAGGATCTACAACCCATCCTGATGGACGATCCCCTCACTCTCACAGACCTTGGGAGACAAGCCAGTCCTCGCTTACAGACAGCCCCCCAACCTGAAGCAAATACTCACCAGCAACTAAACACCACACAACAGAAACACTAACTCAGGAACTAGCCCTTGCAACAAACCCCATTGCCAACTCTGTCCGCATATCTATTCAAGGGACACCATCATAGGACCGAACCACATCAGCCACACCATCAAGGGCTCGTTCATCTGCACATCTACTAATGGGATATATGCCATCATGTGCCAGCAATGCCCCTCTGCCATGTAAACTGGCCAAACCAGACAGAGTCCACACAAAAGAATAAATGGACACAAATCAGATATCAAGAATTGTAACATTCAAAAGTCAGTAGGAGACCACTTCAATCTCCCTGGACATTAAATAACAGACTTAAAAGTCGCCATTCTTCCCCACACAAAAAAAAAAAAACCCCAAACAGACTTCAATGAGAAAATGCAGAACTGGATTTGCAAACTTGACACCATCAAATTAGGCCTGAATAAAGACTGGGAGTGGCTGGGTCACTAGAAAAAATAATTTTCCCTCTGTTGATACTCACCCCTTCTTGTCAACAGTTGGGAATGGGCCACATCCACCCTGATTGAATTGGCCTCATTTGCACTGACCCCCCACTTAGTAACACAACTCCCATCTTTTCATGTGCTGTGTATTAATACCTGCCTATTTTTTTTCTCTCCATGCATCTGATGAAGTGGGTTATATCCCGCAAAAGCTTATGCCCAAATAAATTTGTTAAATAAATTTCTCTAAGGTGCCACAAGGACTCCTCATTGTTTTTGCTGATAGAGACTAACACGGCTGCCCCTCTGAAACAAAGCACTCAGTGACAGCCAACCAAACTACTAAAACAACAAGGGAATAACCAAAGTTCAAATTGAAGTATTCCTAATTAGCACGATGCTTTCTTAACAAAACATGGACCTTTCAGTCTCTGCAAATTCTCTGGAGCAAGGACTATGTCTTATATATGTTCACACATTGACAGAGCACCTTATAACATTACGTAAGTGATTTATAATTCCAACATAGAACCACCTCGGAGTCAGAGCAAAGGAATGGTGTACCACTATTGATGCATAACTACAATTTTTTCCCCCGTTATGCAATTCTGGGTACTCTGATAGCATAATCACAGTGTCCTTATTTATCAATAAGCACACAGCATACAAATCTCTGTATGGTTGTCAGCTAAAGTACATGGATTTACATCATAGAATTACTGATAAACTACTGTATCATTAATATGGAAATCTCTCTGCTCTGACTGGCCACTATAATTCTTATACTCCAATCTGCTCCTGTCTTGCACATGCTATAGAGCTTGCAGGTTTGCAGCCTTCTAGATGCAGAAGTTGGTATCTAGTTTCAGAAATTTGTGCGCAGACCCAGGCAGGCTGAAAGTTAGTTAAACTAGAACCTTAAGCAACTCCGTCTGGGCACGCGCACACAGATTTTGACTACAGCACTAGGTTCACTAAAATTCACACTAGGGATTTCTGACATAAGATTTCATCAGATCCCAGCATTTCAGAGTAACAGAACAGACATTTACTGTACCTTGATCAAGTATTTTTCCCATCTGTCTGCTGTGACAGACTTCCCAATCTTCCTCATCAGTTTCAAGTGAAGTTCTACCAACTCTTTTGGAACTGCAGTATTAAAAGGGGGGAAGAGGGAGAGCAAATGTTAAAAATAACCAACATACATAAATCTTAATACTAAATATTATAAAGGTATTGAGATGAAGCCATACATTGAGAATTTTTAAAAGTGCATAACAACTTGAAAACACTAACAAGAGTTCCACAACTAAAAACAAAGCAAGATCTAAAATAAATGAAATAGGTTTGCATTTAGATTTAAAATAAAGACATCTATCCAAAGCTTCAGTTACCGTAATACATCATTGAAAATACAACAATATCCCAGGAGAATTAAAATAATCATTTTACAGGAAATGCGCCAGCTAGACAACTACAGAAACTAATTGCCACCCTTTCATCATTGTGAGAAACACAGACTCTCCAAAAACCCTATCAAACAGGTGTCTTTTGCTGCATGCCTGGAAGGTCACCAAATTGGAGCTATTCTGGACCAAGTGGGGTGGCTCCAAGTTCTTGAGACTCCGAACACTCAAAGAGAACAATCTGCCCTCCACCTCACCCTCTTTCATAGTGCAGGCCATCCAGCTTGCATGCCCCTGCTGACTGCAGCTGTGGCAATGTGGCACAGGATCTAGGGTTTCTAAACCACAGCTATGCTGAAAGCTTAATGAGTGAGAGAGGTTTACTATTATTTCATCATTGACAAAGAATTGCTTTGCTGCTCATTAAAGAAGAGGTTACTCACCTTGTGCAGTAATTGTGGCTCTTTGAGATGTGTGTCCCTATGTGTTCTCCACTTTAGGTATCTTCACATTTCTGCGCCTCAGACTGGAGATTTTTGGTAGCAGTGTCTGTTTGGCCCTTGCACTGTGCTCTGTTGCTGAATAGCGCTGCATGGGCAAACCACCCTCAGTTCCTTCTTTACTGCAGCTCATATATAAGAGCTTCAAAGCAGACAAGAGCAGGGTGGGTAGTGGAGCACCCATAAGGAGACACATCTTGAAGAAGCTCAGTTACAACACAAGATGAGTAACCTCCTCTTCTTCAATTCATGTCCCTATGGGTAATCCACTCTAGGTGACTCTATAGCAGTGTCCCTGATGGAAGGGTGGGGCATCGGAGCGGAGTCCAATATTGATGATAATACAGTCAAACCAAGTGTCACATCAGATGCTGAATCACGAGTGATTGCATAATACTTGACAAACGTATGAGTAGATGCCCAAGTCGCTGCTCTGCATATTTCTGTGATTGGAACATTATTGAGGAAGGATAGAAGTTGACAGAGATCTTGTAGAGTGCGTTCAGGCTCTCAAAGGGGGCTGTAAGTCATGCGTGCAATTGCAGTAGTTAATGCATTCCGACATCCATCTAGAGAGCCTTTGCATAGATATCGGGGATCCCTTAGATCGGTCTGCGATGGAGAGCAATAGTCTTGGAGATTTTCTGAAAGGCTTAGTCCCTTCCAAATAGAAGGCTAACACTCTCCTGACATCAAGTGTGTGCAGTGTTGCCTCCCTTTTATCCCGGTGTAGTTTAGGAAAGAATGCTGGAAGGTGAGTAAGTTGATTACGTGGAAGGCTGAAGGTATTTTGGTAGGAATTTGGGGTGTGGCCGCAATGTGGCCTTGTCCTTGAAGAAAATTGTAAAGGGAGAGGATATACCATGAGAGCCCCCTCTCTCCTCCACTCTCCGAGCAGATGTGATAGCCATGAGGAATGCAGTTTTCACAGAGAGGTGTAGAAGTGAGCAAGTGGCCACAGGCTAAAAGGGTGACCTTATCAGACAGTTTAAGACAAGATTAAGGTCCCATACTGGTGTAAGATCTCTGATTCAAAGGTAGAGGTTACCCATACCTTTTAAGAAATCTTTTCATTGTAGGATGAGCAAACACCGAATAATTGGTATGGTTGTGTTTTGGCATGAGGGCTTGATAGTTAGCGATCTTAAATTCTAGAGTGGATAAGGAATATGATTTACATCCAAATAAATCCAGTCATTTCCAGTCCTTATTGGTGTCATTTTAGCGTGGTGCTGTCTGCCATGTTCATTAACTGCATCAATGACTAGTGAATTAGGGGATGGATGAAAAAAAATAAAAAAAAGTCTCCATCTTTATAGGACACAATATTTTTGTCTACCCTTCTGCACGTTGGAGGTATTGTGGGTGGTGTCTGCCATACAGTTTTCACCCAATCAAGCAGTGCCTCATTGATGGGGAATGCAATATTTGCTGATTATGTCAAACAGTTTGCACTGTGATTATGACTTCATTAAGCAGGATTCGCAGGAAATCTGCTACCCTATTAAAGAGGTCTTGAAATTGCTTGAAGTGGTCTGTTGTAGTTGGTGTGGGAAGCATGGCCACCTTATCAGGAGATGAAGAAGAAATGTTGGTCACCTGAGTGGCTTCCTTGTCTAGTCTCTCCTCCTGTTCCTCAAAGGTCTCCTCTTGAGGATCAGGTGGTCTGGCTATTGAAGCTAAAGGAGACTGTTTTCCTCTAGCTCTCTGGACGACTAGTACTAGAGTTCCTCAAAAACTGTTGTCTATATGCCACCTGTGGGTCCCAATATGGCCATTGAGGTGGTGAGAGAGGGCATGGGTGGAAGCATCCAAGGATGTCCATACCAACTGGGTGGGTCTCTTCAACTCTGCAGATAGATTGAAGATACATGACTTTCCACCCAGCTAGCTCCCTGGTGCTGTAATGGAGAACCTTGGAATGACACTGAGTATAGGTCATCCCCATTATCTTCCTCATCATCACTTGACAGGTGAAGCAGTCATGGAAGGTTGAGTAGAATGTCTTGGTACTGCATGGAAGTCCAGGGACCTAGGCATAACCCATACTATGGTTATGTCAGTGCCTAGTAAGGGTGATTCAGGTATCTGAGACCATCAAGTCTTTGGGGAACCAAAATTCCTGTGGTACTGGAACAGCCATCAGCACCCGCTGGGGTCAGTTGAGTAGGTGCCATTGAAGTGGAGAGAGCTGTTGGTACCAGAGGCTCTCTGCATTGTGAGGAATGGCCACCAGGTGTCGCCACAACCTTTTGTGATGCTGGTGTATGCAGTACTGATTGTCTAGAAGACTCCTTCGTTTCCATTTTAGAGGAACTGGGTCAGCCTTCATCACTCCTTTCTCCCAACAGTACCATTCTGCCTGAGCCACCCTCTTAAGGCCTTTGGGCTTATCCATGGTACTGGTAAAGGAGGATCTTGCAACCTCATAGGTACCTGGTCGAGGGTCAGTTAGTAGAGGTTATCGACTGTGCCAGGGACCTCTTTCTCTTGGCCAATTCCCTGTTCAGGAACTTGTGGCCTGTTTTTTCAAGACTTTCTGAGAGGAATCTGAGGATTTCGTCTTTGAAGTCACTAGAGAGTGTTGATCCGACGATGTAGACGGGATCAGTCTTGACAGGGACTGCTGTCCGGAGTGCGTCCCGGGCCAAGGGTTGGAGGCTGGTCAGAGTGAGCTTTCCATCATGAGCAGTCTTAATTTTAGTTCATGGCTCTTTCTGGTTCCAAATTTTACTTTGAGACACTTCTGGAAGCATGTGTGCCTCTCCAGGGCAGCAAATGCAGCAGAAATGACTGTCGCTGACAGAAATGGCTTCCCGACATGAGAGGCAGCAGTTAAACCTGGGCATACCCTTTTCAAGAGTTACTTCCCAAAAAGGAAGAGCTAGGGAAATCTAATTTATACTAAGGAGATAACTATTCTACAAGCGAAATAAAATATATATTTATATATTTAAAAAAAGAAAAAGAAAAGAAGGAAGTACTAACATTAACTGAAGCTCTATTACTACTAAGGAAAAATTATTAAGAAAAACACTGGGTAGAATCTCTTTTAAGGGGCTCTGCTAAGGCTCAGTTTCAGGCCAACGGCAGTTGAGAAAGAACAGAGGGAGGTTTGCCCACATAGCGCTATATAGCAACAGAGCACAGCACGAGATGGGGAGAGCGCATGTGAGGGCCAAACGGACACTGCTACCAAAAATTTCAGATCTGAGGTGCAGGGACATGAAGACTCCTAGAGTGGTCCACCTATGGGGACACTACTACTTTATAAATCATCTGTGATTTATATATCAACCTGGCACCATCACACGGCAAAACCCCTGTGCATCATCATTTTAATAAGCTATAGACAATTCAGACCATCCATTATTATAATATAATTGACTATTAGTAATGCAATGCCACAGGACCCTCAAACTAACCCTTATTTATTTATGTATTCAGGAGATTCCATAAAATTAGTGATTTATTGTCCAAGAACCACAAGGATCAACTTTTTTTTTTTTAAAATACATGTGATCATCTATTGTTTACTTGTAATAATTTGGTTGTACACAACGTTACAGTGTATTTTCTAAAAGCATTTTGCGCTAGTCACTTCAAAACACATGCACACATAGGCCTGGTCTACACTACAAAACTGAGTTGGCTTAACCATATCACTGGAGGGTGTCAAAAATCCACACTCTTGATCAGCTTAGTTAAGCCGACCTAACCTCCAGTGTAGACAGAACTAAGTCAACAGAAGAATTCTTCCACTGACCTACCTACCTCTTGGGGAAGTGGATTACCTATGCCAATAGGAGACTCCCTCCTGTCAGCGTGGGTAGCGTCCACACTGAAATGCTACAGTGGGGCCGTTGTAACATTTTAAGTGTAGATATACCCTTGCTAATTTTAACAGCCGTAAAATGTACAAAATGAGAGATTTTATGATTTTGCCTGATGTTTTCTTACACAGGCTACATTTAACAAGAGTACTGCTTACTCGCTCCAACTGCACTTTGTCTACACTGCTTCTTTTATTGACATATTGTTTCTTCCCTTGTTGTTCCTTGTTGTATTGTCATTTATCCAAGACTTACATTATGGAGTTAATTTCTTCACCATTTCACTTATATTCTTCAACTAGCTAATAAGAGTCTTTAAACCAAATGCCTTGATATTCAGGTTAATACAAAGGAGTTCAAAATATGTAGTTTGTGTGAAAGTTTTATTGCAATGGCACTAGATCAGTTAC